CCAGCATTTCTGATGTGAGCACAGCGTTCACACAGATCAACTTTCCTTTGCCGGGAATGCTGTGCTCACATCCTAACAGTAAATATGAGGTTTGCTTTCACTGGTAATGTTTACTGATTCGAAATGAGCCATATATTAATCAGTATATCTTGCCGGTAATGGATAATGATATGGGTCCAACATCTAGAATGTTTGCCAGCACTGAGTGAGATGGATGTTCACAATAGGGCCCTGTGTTGCTATGGAGACAACAACAAACACCTTTCTGGCATTGGGCTCAGCAGCACGCTGTCCAGCTGACTGGAAGCTGTGACTGTTTTAGAATAGAAATGCTGGAACAGAGCCTGGACGTACAATGCTGGTTGGTCTAGATGTGAAAGGGATCTACAGTTTATGTGCATTAGTGTGCTTTGTTTGTGTTTCACTGGTATGTAGTTTCAGAAATGCCTATTTCCTCTGGTGCTGCTGGGAGGTGGGGTGCTGAGAACAAGACTCAGGGCTCTTATTTAAAGATGTGAGTATCTAAAGTCCTCTTAAAAACACTGCGTTTTAATTTAACTGTGGCTTTTGAACTTCATGTCAGAGCAGATATATTTGTTGTTCTCTGTTACCTCATACAGAGTGACTATAATAGATTAAACTATATTATTTTAAGACAGTAATCACTATTTTTCCCCCCCTAGAGATCTATATTATTGAGTTTAGTACCCAGATGCAGCTAATCTGAGTGTTGAAAATATATAGATTGCTGGATTATCTTGACTAGCAGGAGGTTAGCTGGTATAACTAGTAAAAGATAGGTTAACTGGATTAGTCTGCAAAAGACTTGCAAAAGATATTGACTATTTAGATCAGATAAGTCAGATTTAGACCTAAACTGCTCTATTCTGGTCTTATTCTGAGTAGATCTTTCACATTGCTTTATTACTTACTCCAGGCTTAGGCCTACTTCAGGTCTGGAAAACTGGTGATTTGTGGATATCAAGATGATCCACTGATTCCATTCCACAGGTATTTAGGAACCCTCCCTCAGGAGAAGAGGATGCTCCTGGAGAACACTTTGGAGGTACGTCATAATATTCTCCATATGTCATATTAATCAGACAAAGCAGCAGCTTTAAAAGTGACCAAGGGTGGCCATTTGTCCTGTTGCACAGGCAGAATGTATTTCTGGCACAGCTAAAGAGAAAGAAGACGCACTACCCCCAAAAGGTAGGTACACCAAACCCAATGTCTGTCGCTGTGGTTACGGTGAACCCCAATCAAGAGTTAAAGCAGAAAAAATCATAAATTTGAGCTCCTTCCGCTTATTCTAAGTGTAGTCGATCAGCCAAGACACGTTTGCTGTCTTAGTTTTAGCACTGGAGCTACAAGGCCCATGTAGCTAACAGTGAAAGCAAATACCTCACCAATTAGCCTGGTGCTAACTATGCCTACATCATCACATCCTGGCCTCAATCCGTGTGGAGGTGTTCAGTATCTCTAATAGACTTGATTATGTGGTGTCTGACACTGTATCACTCACTGTTGGTCTAAAGTATAGACACATTTCAGGCTTTAAGGTGGTTTATGCTAATGTTTTTAGCTTTGCGTGGTTTCTGACACTGTGTCTCTCCACATATCGACACAAGTGTGGTCAAAATTCAGGCTTCATGATGGCGTCTACTGTTTTTAGCTTTATGCTAACATATTTTACTCTATATTTAAAGATAACTATGAGTCACACAGTGTCAGAAACCATGTAATCAAATCGATTAGAGATACTGAACAACTCCACACAGTTTGAGACGAGTGTGTGATGTTTTTTGGCATGATTTAAGTTAGCACCATGCTAGCATAGTGCAGTATTAGCTTCTACCTCTTGTCAGCTACACTAGCCTCGTAGCTCCAGTTCTAAAACTGAAGAAGCAAAGTTCAGACAACAAAGGTGTCTTGGCTCAGCTTGCTGAACTATTCCTTTAAAGAACTCTGTAGTTTGTGTGTTTCAGGTGTCCAGAAGGAGAAACAAACAGAGCAGAGACGACCGAGTGATGGAGATGCTAATGGTGGACAGCTCGAACAAACACCCCCAAAAAAATCATCCACATGCACTGTGTTGTGAAACACATACACAAGTAGAGATGGCACAACGCCACATTGTCTTCTCTGATAACATGTGTTGAAATCTTAAATATTGGCCTTTTATTTATTTTTTCTTTAAAAACTGATGAGCTTTAAAGGGCCCATATCACCGACGACTGAACTGAACTTTCCCTGTCTATAAAAAAGCGTTTGTGCCTAGTTAGCAAAATTAGTTTGGCTCACTTGTGGGCCACATTCTTGGTTTGTTCTGGCCCAGTATACGGCTGGGTCCTTGGCCCAGATCTGGCCCACACACTGTAAAGTGAGTAGAACTAAAGGATATGGCCCAAATCTGGCCCCAATCTGGTCCAACTACATTGTTGGTCCACAATATTCATACCAGAATTGTCTCACAAATGTGGACACAAAGTAAAAATGGTATGAAGCTGTCCAGGATCTGGCCCTGTTCTGGCCCGCATGCCTAACATCTACCCAGTAGTCAACCAGCACTCACATGGGAAAGCCAGAATCAGCCCAAAACTGTTATCTGGGTAGCGTGACACAGTTAAATGTGCTAGATGCACTTCTCGATTCGTACAGTCCATAAATGGAAACTAAGCTGCAAAAAACAGCCCATTTTGCGTTCACTGTTTTTGTGATGTCACGAAAACCAACACATTTGCATTCGGTCAGCCTACTGTAGTTTAGCCCCGCCCATTCATGCTGAAGTTATAAGGAGTGTTTCAGCCTGGACTGCTTTCTGAAGGAGGCGCAATACAGGGCAGCCAATCAAAAGTGAGCACATATATCAGTCTTAAAGGCAACAGCCTGTTTAATTCTAAGTAATAAAGACTAAAAAAAGCTATAACTGTTTTTGGTACATAAATCCACAGAAATATTAGAAGTGGATAAAATAAAAATGCAAGAAAATATGTGGGATATGAGCCTTTTAAAAATATTCTTTTATTATACCATTTTCTGTTGATATTGTACTCAAACCTGGTGCCACCTCGAACAGTTTCCTCTCAGGTGATCACCCGCTGATAATCAGCAGTGGTGGTGGAATGAGTTTGTGTTTTCTTTGTGTGCCATACCCTGACGTATTTGCTCATATTCAGTATTTTTATGGTTCATATACAAGGTACTATGAGAAGCTATTTATCCGGGCAGTTCTTATTTGCTTGGGTAGAAACATTATGAATATAAATAAACATTGATATGATTAATTGTTTCATGTTTTTTCAGTATGTTAACATATAGAGTATTTATCCAAGAACAAGTAAATTGACTGCCTTGATAAAATAGTTCTAAACAATGGTCTAAACTGGTCTTTCTCCAGTCTGGTCCTGGAGACCCACTGCCCGGCACATTTTAGAGCTTTTCCTACTTTAACACACCCAAGAATGGGCTATTAATGTGGGCCTCCAGGACCAGGGCTGAGAAACACTGCACTAAACAGAAATATAGTCACAAATTAAATAACTAAAGCATGACTGTATTGCCTATGGAAAGGAAAGTGCAGAACTACGCCATCTGCTGGTCGCCATTCATTTCGCCATTGACAAATCTTTTACAACGGATTAAAATCGCTGTAACGTTTGTTAAACAGTCAGTTTGTGATTATATAAACACAGCACGCATGAATTTAACATAACAGCGGAACACTGTGCTTAGCAACATAACTGTAGCAATTAAACTACAATTGAACTACAAATCCCATGCCTCAATGCAGCGCCGCTTCGTTGGATATGCGGCAGTGACATCATCGGCGCGACAGACTTTGTAGTCCGTTTTGAGAAAACTCGTAAAAACTGTATTTCTGTCTTTTTACTGTCAACTAATCATTGATATAGTGTCAAATGTAGCTGAACATGGTGTGACACTTTGCCGTATGCTGTACAACGGGTGCATAAACCGTTCCGTTCTTTGTAAATATGTTGTGAGCGCAGCAGCGTTCCCTCAATGCGCTCAACACCAGAATCTTCCACTAGAGGGCGGTGTTGATATGCGTTTGCTCTTGTATGTGTTCAAATCTGTGCAGGTCTCTGAAAACTGTCCTGAACTCTGTTCAAGCAAAATGTTGAAGAAGTTACATCAGCAGAATTTGTATTTGTGGAATGAAACTGTAAATAAATGAGTGTAAAGCAGCTTCAGTTCTCTTCTGCATGCCTGTTTTCTCACAGAGGAAGTGGATGAGACAGGAGGTCAACAAATGGGTGCCATAAAAAACAGAAGCAGACCCATAAACTCTGATTGGACTCCGGCTGAGACCCCCAGACTCAGACACGGCACAGTGTCTTTATTAGAGTGAGGGTTTTACCTTCTGTGTGTCTACTGTGAGCCTGCTGAGAACCATTTGGGACCCAGTTAACACTGTGTCACCGTGTTAACGTACACATGCAAGCCTGGATTACCAGCTAACGCTGTTCTTTCCATGTGTTGTTGTGATTGAAAGGGAATTCCACCATTACACAAATTCTGTATAATTCAGTGTGTGAGCTGTAAACAGAGAGATTCAGAGTGGTTTGGTGTGAAATGGTTCAGATGTCTTTACAGTGGTGGTGATAGGAACCAGGGGTCACCATGACTACAACACAAATATAGACATTTTATTCACTATCAAAACCACCAGTGAACCTACACGAGTCTTCTGAGTTTATATGGAATGATGATGATGGAAAAATAGTGGAAAACCTGAAATAGTAAGTTTTCTTTTGGGACTATTTTGCCTCACAGCGCCCTGCATGTGTCCCTCCACCATGAATGGACTTTTTTATAAGTTCATGCAATAACTTTCTGTGGGGGAGCTTTTAGAGGTGGATGTCTGGTGTTTTTAATTAATGCATAAATAAATAAACAAATACTAATGACAGGGTTGTAAGGATTTGATCTGACAGTACAAACATTTTATTAGATGTGACTGAAAACAATGCCAAAGGTTTTATTTGTCAGAAATTAATTTATTGAGGAAAAATAAACAGCACATCAAAACTTTAAAATGAAGAACATGAGGATTTTTCTGTCATCAGAAAAATAAACAATGCAAAGTTCCACTTTCTTGTGTATTACAACTGAATGAACATTAACGATTAGCAAAATGCCATAATTTGCCATATAACTGCCAAATTAGTTTACTTTCCTCAAAAACAATATCTTGTCCTGTTCTGTTCGAGGCAGAGAGCTGTGTGCAGTTCAGAGTTTGTTCTCCTGAAGGCACTGACATGAATGTCTTTAGGTTGTCAGCAGAGCTGAGCTGAGGAACGCCTGTAAAACCTTTTACAACAAAATACCACAGAGTAACCAGAGGCTTTAGCACCTCTGTGTTAGTGTCTGTGATTGGTGGATATGGTGTCTCAGAGGGTGGTGATTGGTGGGTTTGGTGTCCTGCAGATCTGAGATTGGAGGATTTGGTGTCTCAGAGGTCTAAGATTGGTGGGCTCAGTGTCTCAGAGGTCTGTGATTGGTGAGTTTGGTATCTCGGAGGTCTGTGATTGGTGGGTTTGATGTCTCAGAGATCTGTGATTGGTGAGTTTGATGTCTCGGGGGTCTGCGATTAGTTGGTTTGATATCTTGGAGGTCTGTGATTGGTGGATTTTCCAGTTCATTCACTGCTGTCGTCTCCGACCACCATGCTGCTGTACTTCTTCTGCTGCTCCTGTTTGAAAGTGTCCTTCACCTTTGCTCTTTTCAGACCACCATCCCTACACACACACACACACACACACACACACACACACAAATTACAAACTGTATTACTATTGTTTTGACCTCACAACTTAGCACACATAGTTCCCTGTGTATTTCTGTGTATTTGTGGAAGAACACTGTATGTATTATTTTTATTTATTTATTTTTTTATATTCAACATCAACCATCAAACTCAAAAAATCACAAATAGAACTGTTTTTGTTTTCTGTTCTGTATTTTTACTTGCCCATAAAGATATTCTATTATATTTTATTCTATTGTTTTTACTCCATTATCCTGTTCTATTCTATTCTATTCTATTCTATTCTATTCTATTCTATTCTTATATCGTGTTCCAACTACATTTAATTGTATTCTATTACTTCTATTCTAATGTATGAACATGATATAAAAGAGAGCATTGCCCACCAGGAGAGGTCCACCAGTCCCCCCTGCTGTGCGATAGCAGACTTCACTCTGTTAGCAAACTGCACTGCGTCCTCTCCTTCCTATACACACAGGAAATGAGTCAGAGAAACTGCAAAGCACTGCGTAACTACAGTGTTTCACAATCCAACCAGAGACAAACATCATTATTACGGTTTTTAAAGCATTTGCTGAGCAAAACATTCATACATCATTTCTACCCTTGACCCGAATATACTCAATCAACCAAGACATGTTTGTGTCTGAAGTTAGCTTGTTTAGCTTTAGCTTTAAAGTTTGGAAGTTAATAACAGTGTATGACACACTGTTATATATGAAAACTGACAAAAATACAGGCCAAATTCAGGCTTCAAAACTGTATTTTGCTATGCTAACATACTTCAGTCCATGTTTATAATAACAGTGAGTCATACAGTGTCAGGAACCACATTATCAAGTCTATTAGTGATTACTGAACTCCACTCACTTTTAGGCAAGCGTGTGATGGTTTAGGCATTTAGTTAGCACCATGCTAATTGGTGGGGTATAAGCACCCATTACCTGTTAGCGACATTAGCCTCCTAGCTCCAGTGATAAACAAAAGAAACAAGCTTCACACACCAAACATGTCTTGGCTGATGTACAGTGTTTTGGGTAAGGGGGTGGGTGTGGTTGTGGTTGTGACTAAGTCAGATTTTTAGCTGAACTATTGCTTTAATTTTGATTTTCCTGTGACTGTTCCCACCTTTTGGGTCATGGGGGGCAGGTACCAGACGTTGCAGACAATTGCCCAGCTGGTCATCATCCTCAGCAGGTAACTGACCATGTTATACTTTGCACTGTTCCAGAACGCATCGCCAAACTGAGGGTCATACTGCGGGACACACATATACTCATAATTAACACATTACAGCCTGCAACCTAAAGTGCTCCACCAATACAGCATCATTTATACCGATTTTAACATGAAAATGAAACCTTCTGTATCTGAAACACAGGAAAACGAGTAATGGCTAGAGAATCATTTCATTCATTGGCCCCAACAGCTGTGCCAATACAAACCATGTCAAAAACTGTACTGCTTTCCAGATATTTTCTAAAAATCCATTGCTTACCACACAGAGGTAAAGGGTCAATGTTTTTAAAAATGTAGACATTACCTTTCAAGACCCCTCATCAACAATAACTATGTATACATGTCATCCTAAAAACTTTGCCCATCATTTGTGTTCTATCTGCTTAAAAGCCTGTACTGGGCCCATAAGGTGTGGAGTGCTTGGACCCCTATGATTGCCACTTTCTTGTAATTGCTAGATGGTTCCTTATCAGTCACAACATTTATCAACGTTTTCTACATCAATTTCAGACAAAAATGAAAAGGTAGCTGATTGTCTTGGTTGCAAACATCAATAATTTACATGTGTTGACCTTTCCAGCACCCAATGCTCTAAAACTATTGAAGAAAGAAATCTGAAAATGTGAGAATAAAACTGTTTTAGTAGCCTTCTATTCCACAGTGGTTTCATTTATCAGCACCATTAAGGCACTAAAGTTATCCAGTTAATCCATTAATATCATCCAGCACTAGCAGCGCTCCTACTGAAACCTTTTAATGTTTTAAAAACATCACTCATAATATAATATAAAATCATTTCTAATATTCTAAAATTTAATTCTAACATGAAATTTCAAATAAAAGGCCATGATCTGCTGTTAGGGCACCCCAAATTACCCAACGCTCCCATGAATAAAAACTATTTTATTTAAAATGTACACAGATTTCGTCTGTGTCATATTTGTCATTCAAAATGACAAATTTGACCAAAAGGTGATGAGTTTGCAGGCATATTATGAAAAAATGACTTTCATCAGACGATTACCAGATAATTTGTTATAATAATATTAAATAGGCAGATTTTTTGCCCAAACACACAATTCTCAAGCAATTTTTTTTCTCATTTTTCATTTTAGTCTATATTCCACTACAGTGTAATCGGTTTCTCCAGTTACATCCGTGTAACTGTGGAATGTAGGCTGAGTGGTGTAATGTTTATTGAGTTGTGTAATTTTATTGTTCATATTGCCCGTATTGCAGTGCGGGGTGACGGAGGAGCTTTTATACCTTTATAGCGACGGGGTAAATGGTGCCTCCGATTTCAAAACTTCCCTTTTTGAACATCATGACGGACGTGTTGTTGATGCAGGTTCCTGTGTGCAGAAACAGAAGCAGAACAGAGTGAATGAACCACGACTGTAGAGTTTACAGACCAGTCAGGACGTCAATTAGACAGCCTGTAGTTAGCCATTAGCATTAGAGTGCTTGTTTGGCTGAAAAAGCATTTTCACATAATTTTTAAATTAAATTTCAAATAATTTTATTTAATACTGTTTTTTCCATCATGCTCCCTGAGCTTTAGGAGGGCTGTTTTAAGCATTAAGGCACTTACCCTCGGGGAATATGAGGATGGGCAGTTTCTTCTTGTCGTTCACGTGATCCCTCAATCTGTGGAAGACGGGAAAGAGGGAGAAGAGCTCAGCTGAGAACAGATAAAACACTTTACAGTAATAAAATCCTGCTGTTGTTTTAGATTAAATATTTATGACTGTAATTCACTGAAACGAATGGAGAAACTGTGTGGAAAGTGCAGATTCTAAACTTACAATCCAGGCCATAGTGTTTATAAGGGCCCTGCACTTTGGCTGAGGTACAGTGCAGGGCAGACAAAAACAATTCTAAGGGATGAAGAAAGTTTGGAAAATGATCATGTACTAAAAAGCACACCTAATGCTGTAAGTGGGCAAGAAAAATGCAGAACATGAGCCTTTAATGCTCCAAATCTTTGGCCCACGCAAAAGTTATCGAGATAACTATGTGATTAATTATGTGTTTGCAAACTGCAGTGTAAATATGCATATGTAACTTGTTAAAATATTATTATTTATCGTCGCTCTCAGAACAAAAGTTTGTACCTCCAAAAAGGAAACTTCACTGCAAAAGGAAAAAATGTCCTTAACTTGTAATAGAATTTAATGCAACTAGAGTTTTGTCCAAGTATGTTTGGTCCATTTCTGTTGGTCCATTAATCATGAAATTTTACCCCAATGCAAAGGGTAACTGGAGTTTTCAAATTATGCCAAAAAATAAAAACTCAACAGAAACATGATATCATATTTATCATTGATTTAATGAATCATATAATTATGTTTTTACATTTAAATGATTACGTAATGTAAAGTGAATGTGTAGAAAAATGACGATAATAGTGGACTAGTAGCGATTAAAGCATAACTGAATGTATCTTCAATGATTATGAAGTGCAGTTGATGAGTATATGGTGTTATTAAACATATATGAGCCTTCAGTGCTGCACTGACTAGCTTTTCTATACACTCTGTGCTGTGTGTGTGTGTGTGTGTGGGAGTGTGGGGGAGTGTGGGGGTAATTGCTGACCTACATTCCAGACCAGTGCATGTCTGAGCACTGCATCTCTGTGTCTGTTAAATAAATGACGTTAAAGGTTCGGCTAGTTCTTAAAGGAACAGTTCAGAGAAACTCTAATTCAAATCCTCACTGATGGACTACATTTATTGCATAAGTGGCTGCACTATCACTTTAATGCACTCAGTTTGGCCCTCACGCTCTAGCAGGAGCAGAAAACAAGATCCAGCCTGAAGTAGATTCAGCTTAAACATGAGCTCTATAATAAGCAGATCATTAGCTCTGTGCTTTACTAACACACTGTGTGCCTGCAGTGACTTGTTTAACAGCAGAATGAAGGAGGTTTAATGCAGTGCTGCTGTACCTCTGTGTCACCAGGTGGCGATCTTTCATCTCCGCCCTCTCAAACCAGATGTGCGGGCATGCTCGGACCATCGCCCGCTGGACCACGCCCATCAGCCCTCCGTGGACCTGCCCCACCTGTCAATCACACACGCAAACCCCACCTTAAAACCTCCAACAGCGTGTTTATGAATTATGTGTGTGTAAACGCTATGACTCCAGCTAATCATTATTTACATAAACTCCAATCGATTATCAATTATTATCTGTTTAATCAACTGGTCTTCAACTGAGGATCTGGAACTGAAGTTCCAACAAGTGATTTTTCCTTTAATGGTGCAGTGAAATAATAGAAGCCATATCGCCCCCTACACTTCCTGTAGTGTATTACAGTCTGTCAGAATGACTGTGTGGATCATATGAACATTATAGAGCTTTTTAAATGAAACAGTAGAAGCCATATCGCCCCCTACACTTCCTGTACTGTACTACAGTCTGTCAGAATGACTGTGTATCAAGTAGTGCTTTTCTCATTATTAAAAATGAAAAATGAGTAATTGACTTTGTAAACTAATCATTGCCTCCTGCTTGTGTGCATCACTGTAATTCCACTCGGTGTGTTTTTGTTTTGGCTCACTCACCATGGCGTAGCCGCTGTCATTGGCTAGGATCACCACGTCGATCGGTGAAGTGTGATTGGCTACACAGATTCCTCCTTTCTTTGGTTTGTTCTCTCTGCAGAAGAGGAGACAGAACAGATTGTAGCTTGTTGTGATATTAAATACCTGTTATTGTATTCAGTACTTGTTACAGTATTTAGTACTGGTGTTTAGTGCCTGTTATGGTATTTAGTACATGTTGTGGTGTTTAGTGCCTGTTTTGGAATTAAGTGCCTGTTTTGGTATTTAGTACTTGTTATGGATTAGTGTAGTACTTGTTATGGATTAGTGCCTAATATGGTACCGAGTACCTGTTGTGATATTTAGTACCTGTTATCATACTGAGTACCTGTTATGGTATTTAGTAATTTTTGTAGTATTTAGTACCCGTTATCATGCTGAATACCTGTTGTGGTATTGAGTAACTGTTGTAATATTTAGTACCTGTTATCATACTGAGTACCTGTTGTGATATTTAGTAACTGTTGTAGTATTTAGTGATATTTAGTATTGTGGTATTTAATACTTGATATGGTATTTAGTACCTGTTACAGTATTTAGTACTGGTAGTTAGTGCCTGTTATGATATTTAGGACCTGATATGGTATTTATTACTTGTTATGGTATTCCCTCCATGGATTAGTGCCTAATATGGTATTTAGTACCTATTATGGTATTGAGTACCTGTTGTGATATTTAATACCTGTTGTAATATTGAGTATCTATTATTGTATTTAGTAACTGTTGCAGTATTTAGTGCATGTTATGGTATTCAGTATCTGCTGTGATATTTAGTAATTATGGTATTTAATACCTGATATAGTACTTCGTACCTGTTGTGTTATTGAGTACCTGTTGTAGTATTTAGTGCCTGTTATGGTACTCAGTACCTGCTGTGATATGTAGTAATTGTTGTGCTATTTAATACCTGATGTAGTACTTCACACCTGTTGTGTTATCGAGTACCTGTTATGGTATTTAGTAACTGTTGTAGTATTTAGAACTGCCACGGTATTCATTACTTGCTGTGATATAGTAATTGTTGTGGTATTGAGTACCTGTTATGGTAGTGGATGGTGGCTGAAAGGCCTCTGGCGCAGATCCGATAGCACATCACATGCACCAGCTCACTCAGCCAGTCCTTTAACCTGCAATGCAAAACATCCACACCGTCACCGCCATCCACACAACTTCTTCAGTGGAATGAAGTGCACTTACAGCAGGCAAGTGATTCACCCAACAGTAATACAAGCTTATATAATTAAATACTTAAAAACTCTGTAAATGTAAAGGTTTTTTTTCATTTTATTGTACTGCGTACTGTAGAAGAGAGTTTTAGTGTGTGATTACCAGCAGTTCGGGATGAATCCCACCGCAGTGGTGCCGATGACCAGCCAGCTGAGCCCGATAGCCGCCAGAGTGACTCTGCAACCAAACCAAATAGTTATGGTCATTTAAAGACAAACCAGCTAACCAGTTTGGGCACCCCTAGTCAAATTCCATGTTTTAATTATGAAAATAAGTGAACACATCCTCTACAACGAGCACACTTCTGCACATTCTAATGCACAATGACTGTTTATTTGCTGAATTTAACATATTAAAATAAAAAGCTTATCAGTGTGCACAAGAACAGCACAGTGTTGGTCATGGCACTGTGCGGGTTCTGTGCTACTGAAGAGGTCAAGCTGCCCTCCAGATTCTCTGAATGCTAGAACACCATGTACAGCGACACAAATAACAATAGCCTGTAAGGATTTCACTCATCCAGACCATCAACCTGTCTAGTAAGTCAGCTGGACGTGTGTTATCTTGAAATCGTGGTATCTAAGATATATATATGTATATATATATATATATATATATACATATATATATATATATATATATATATATACCTGATTGGTTGGAACTGAGAGTTTAACAGAGAAATTAACTATAAAAATAATTATATAGTCACATTTAAATCACTTTGTGACAGAAATGACTGAATGGAAAAGCTCTGTGACTGTGGCGTGTGTGTTACCTGAGGGGCAGCAGGATGCCATAGCGGACGATGACCCCGACGCCCCACAGGATGGTCAGTCTGAGGGAGATGTAGTGGAAGTTGTTGTTGGTTCGTGTGAGCAGGTTCCAGGACACTAACTCCTCCGAGCTGAACCTCTGAGTGACCTCGTCCTCCACTATACTCTCGATGCCCTTCCGACTGAAATAAAACACGTCACTGAGAGCGAAATCCCCCCGCCGGTTCCTCCGCTGCTCCCCAAGCTCCTTCTCCAGTGAGGAGTCATCCCTCTGGATCAGACCTGAGGAGAACGCAGCAAGACTTTGTTACAACTAAAAGCAACAATTCATTTCAGTCATTTAGCCTGGCCTAGTAACTCGCTAACTCATTCCCTAATGTTTAGCAGTCTGGATATTTTCCACAAGGGGGTGCTGATACCACAGAGTTTTTCACGTGCATCACTGAAAGGGAAGAAACCGGCATGAACCCACACCATGCTAGGCTAAAGGATCCCCTGAAGCATTTACAGTAAAACTACACCGTAAAAAGTGAAGAAGGCTTATTACAAACTTCCATATTTTGGGTAGAGGTGACTCTTAAAAAGTGGTTCTTTAAGGGTTCTTTAGTAAAAGCACCGGTTATATACAGAACCATGATAACTGACTGTTTGAATACTTAAATGGTTCTTTGCATTGTTAAACATTCTCCATAATGGAGAGTGTCTCATATATGGTTCTTTAAAGTACTTTTTTAAATGGTTCTACATAGCGCCCAAAAGCGTTGATCAAAGAACCTTCTTTGGACTGTCTTTGCTAAAAAGTGTACCATTAACAGTATTAAGCCCAGTGGAACAAAGCTTAGCTTGGCGCTAACATAACATTATGCTGGCAGAAATCAGCATTATCCAACAGTAGAAAGTGCTAGAACATTCCGTATGTGTGCTTATACATTTTATCAGACGTTGGTGGTAGAACAGTATTCAGTGTTTTAGTGTCTTTATAGACTCTACATTATTATAATAGAGCTGGGAAAAGGTTTGGAGGGTGGGTGTGTTGTGTGCCCCCCTTTGCTTTGTATTTCATGCTGTTTAAAGCTTCAAACAGCACTGAAAAATGAGTAAACGACATGCATCACTCATCACTGCACTTCATGAGGAAACTGTTAGCCGAGCAGGAAAAGACACGCAATTGAGACTCCATGGAAATGTAGACAAAGCAGCTTCATGAGTCTGAAATAAAGCTACTTCACTGGAAGTGCCAGATACGTCTGACAGGTCTAAACAGCTCCAACACGCCTCACTGCAGGAATGCAAACCTGGCAGCATAACAGCAGCAACACTACCGTCCAGACGGAGAGAGTTCTGCTCACACTCGCTGACACCTTGTGCTTCCATTCACTGTCCACTTTATTAGAAACACCCACCTTTTACTTCCACTAACTGACCTCTTTATTAGAAACATCTACCTTGTGCTTCCATTCACTGTCCACTTTATTAGAAACACCCACCTTTTACTTCCACTAACTGACCTCTTTATTAGAAACATCTACCTTGTGCCTCCACTCACTGACCTCTTTATTAGAAACACCTACCTTGTGCTTCCACTCACTGGCCACTTATTAGAAACATCAGCCACACTAATGAAGCAGCAGCAGATGAGCTATCGTCTCTGACTTTACATCTACAAGGTGGACTGACAAGGTAGGAGTGTCTAATAGAGTGGACAGTGAGTGGACACAGTGTTTAAAAACTCCAGCAGCACTGCTGTGTCTGATCCACTCGTACCAGCACAACACACACTAACACACCACCACCACGTCAGTGTCACTGCAGTGCTGAGAATGACCCACCACCCAAATAGTACCTGCTCTGTGAGGGTCCATGGTGGTCCGGACCACTGAAGAACAGGGTAACAAAGTATGCAGAGAAACAGATGGACTACAGTCTGTAACTGCAGAACTACAGAGTGAAACTGTACGGTCAGTGGAGCTGAAAAAATGGACAATGAATGTAGAAACAAGGAGGTGGACTTCATGACGTGGCAATACTTGCAGCATTGTAATATATTCTATATATGCTGAACCAATGCACACACTGCTTTTTACAGTGCAGCTAGCTAACTTAGCTAGCTGACTAGCTTCACTCACGCTGTGGTTTGGTTTGCAGCGCTGCAGCTAAAGGTCACTCACTGATTCTTTAACTGATGACGGAACTGTAAACCAGCACTAACTACATCATCTTCATCACTTCAGCTAACTCACAATGCCCACTCTGTACTGCAGTGCAGCTGTATGCTAATGGACACACAACAGTGCCAAAGCTGATGTTGCTGAACTGATCTGTGTGCCTGCAGAGCAGAGAGAAGCTGCCTGATCAGTGTTGATAAGCCAAGTACTGAGTATTGATTTATCGTTACAGGCTAAGACAGACAGCAAAGCTAAATGAGAGGACTGTAGATAATAAAAAGGCACAAAGTCCACCAGGGGTGTGAGAGTAATTGTGTAATCTTTAATTGCTTTGGCTAAATGTTCACATTCCACACCAGTGTGGAAAACTCCGGCCTGGAACAGGACAGACTGGATGATTTCACTTTTACTTGGATTTACTTCTAATAAAGTAACTTACTATTTCCATTTTTAATAACCACTATAAGGAGAAAATGAATTTGTTTTTCATAACACCCAAGCTGAGGAAGCTATTAGCTTGTAGGCCAGCTAATCTTAGCTAAGTAGCTACCGTGATCTTTCACAATTTCCTTTTTATTTTGTCATTTATGGTAACAAAAACAGACTTTTGTTAAATGTAAAGCTGTTGCTTGAATGTCAAGGTGTTAGTTAGCTGGCTAGGCTAGTGTAAGCTAACTTAGCTAGTGTACGCTAATGTTTAGGTTAGCTTATGTGAGCAATAAACCCAGTGTAGTCTTGAACGTTAGACATAAGTAATTAACTGAGTACTTTATTAGAAACATCTACCTTTTACATCCACTCACTGGCCACTTTATTAGAAACACCCACCCTGTACTTCAACTCACTGGCCACTTTATTAGAAACACTCACCCTGTACTTCCACTCACTGGCCACTTTATTAGAAACACTCACCCTGTACTTCCACGCACTGGCCACTTTATTAGAAACACTCACCCTGTACTTCCACACACTGGCCACTTTATTAGAAACACTCACCCTGTACTTCCACTCACTGGCCACTTTATTAGAAACACTCACCCTGTACTTCCACTCACTGACCACTTTACTGGAAACACTTACCCTGTACTTCCACTCACTGGTCACTTTATTAGAAACACTTACCCTGTACTTCCACTCACTGGCCACTTTATTAGAAACACCCACCCTTTACTTCCAGTCACTGGCCACTTTATTAGAAACACTATTAGAAGCTAATGTTTAGGTTAGCTATGTGACCAGTAAACTCAGTGTAGCCTTGAACGTTGGACTAAGTAATTAACTGAGTACAGATTCTTAAAATCATGTTCAAAATATTTTAGTAGCACTACTCTAACTTTAAGAGCAACAACAGAAAAACTTAAAGAACAGTCATGTCAAAAAGCCAAAAAGTGTTAAGGTAGTATTAGATTAAGGTACAATAGCATCACAGCTTAAAACTGCTGTAACATTTTGATTAGTTAGCTAATGCTGGCTAGTTTGTTCCTTTGTTGTTATCTAGCTAGCTAACTATTAGTGCTACCATCCAGTTAGCAACTTAGCTAACATTAGCGCTAGCCTAGCTAACATTAAGGGTATTTGGACAGTGTTTTTGCATGGCTGACCTGCTCATGATTGTGTTATGATGACCAGACTGTGTTACGTTGTTAACCCAGAACACTGAAGGACAGTGGAGAAGGGAGAGGGGTCAAAAGGCCGTTCCGTTGCTCTTTAACCCGAGATTTTCAGCACGCTTTCATCTCCTGAGACGCACTGTAACCTAAAGAAGCCTCTGTTTTATCTCAGCATCGATAAGAGCCATCAGTTATCTACCGCTGATAGCAGGACTCTTCACTCCAGCCTGGACCAGCTGCCCTCTGCCCTCAGAAACAATAATAAAACCACTCAGTTTAACCCCCGAACTGCGGCCTGACTCCTCGCTTACTCGTCTCAAAAAAAAAAAAAGTAAAATAAAATCTATCTTCTCTGAATTGTCAGTAATTAGTTGGCATTTGAGATGATGAAACTGTCTTACAGTAAGAAACAGAGCTGGAGGGTCATTTTTGGTCGCAGTGTATGTGTTTCTGTATATTTTCTATAATGAAGCCTTTTGAATATTTTCTTGCTTATCTTTTTTCACTAAAGTATTCTGGAACCTTTGAACGGCTGTACATGGTTTGTTATTGTTCAATAAAGCCCATTTTATTGTTTGGTCTTTATTTACTATATTGGCCTCTATAAACTGTCTTAGTAGATCTGTCAAATGAAAGTGGACAGCTCTATTTATTATACAGTAACCACAATAAACCATCCACCATCAATTATTAGTAAATTATTATTCACTAATATTTATTATGCAGTAGCAGTTACTGTGAATTAGTCAGTTACTATAATGAAGTGTTCAGTTACTAATTATTTAGAAACTAATTATTCAGCATCTACTACGAATTATTCAGCATCTACTATGAATTATTCAGCATCTTCTATGAATTATTCAGTATATACTATGAATTATTCAGCATCTACTACAAATTATTCAGCATCTTCTATGAATTATTCAGCATCTACTACAAATTATTCAGCATCTACTACAAATTATTCAGTATCTACTATGAATTACTCAGTATCTACTATGAATTATTCAGCATCTTCTATGAATTATTCAGCATCTACTACAAATTATTCAGCATCTACTACAAATTATTCAGCATCTACTGTGAATTATTCAGCATCCACTACAAATTATTCAGCATCTACTACAAATTATTCAGCATCTACTACAAATTATTCAGCATCTACTGTGAATTATTCAGCATCCATTACAAATTATTCAGCATCCACTACAAATTATTCAGCATCTACTGTGAATTATTCAGTATCTCGTATGAATTATTCAGCACCTACTATGAATTATTCAGTATCTACTGTGAATTATTCAGTATCTACTACAAATTATTCAGCATCCACTACAAATTATTCAGCATCTACTGTGAATTATTCAGTATCTCGTATGAATTATTCAGCACCTACTATGAATTATTCAGTATCTACTATGAATTATTCAGTATCTACTATGAATTATTCAGTATCTACTATGAAATACTCTAACTAACTAGTAACTATTCTGAAACTCATCTGTACAGTCTGTACTGATCAGAAGAGGAAATGGAGAGCAGTGTATTGCGTATTAAAGCACACAGTGCCAGTGAAACCACACTTCAGTGTTCAGTCACGGGAATGTGTCGTAACCGTGTGTCTGTGGTGAGTATACATTTTATGTTTACCGTTAGATGAAGAATGTTTTAAGGTCTGCTCCTCTCTGCTGCTCTTCTGAATCTTCAGTGTTGCCCACTGGAACACACAGACACATGGTTAAATACAAACTGTCTCTCTCTCTCTCTCACACACACACACACACACACACACACACACACACACACACACACACACACAGGCATCCTATTCAACATGTTCTTTTCAAATTTTCTATTCCACCTCAAACAGTGCAGCAGTTACATTCTGGCACATGGGCTGTTTTTGTATATGGTCACCAAAAGAAATGCTCACTACTTTAACACACAGTTAAAGTTAAGAAGTTAAGAATGTTCCTTCTCCTACGCAGTTACAGCATATATATATAACTTATTAGAAACACCTACCTTGTGCCTCAACTAACTGGCCGCTTTATTAGAAACACCTACACACATACGTATTTATGTGTGTGTGTGTGTGTTTGTGTGTGTATTTGTGAATTCAGACTGCATTTTAGAGAGTAATTAAGACTTAGAATTTAGAAGAAGGCAAACTAGCTCACTGACTAAATTTTGAGTTAGTGTCTAACCCAAACCACTAACGGTAGACATTTATTTACCTAAATAAAGCTACTATCGTTGACAATTGTTTTCTATTTCCTGCTTCTCTCTAAACCAGATATATAATGTGTTTTGAATACAAAAATACTAAACATATTTTCTCTCAAATGTATACAACTTTGTGGGCATAACAGTGAAAATACTTAAACAGGACTCTAGACAGTCACTCATTGTGGCTCAGCTGCTGTCTAAGTGTTGGTGTGTGTGTGTGTGTGTGTGTGTGTGTGTGTGTGTGTGTGTGCGTACCTTCAGTGTTTTGATGAGGATCTTCATGTAGGTCTCTGTGATGCCCAGTGAAAAGCCGAACATGGCGGGCAGCATGATGAGCAGCAGCAGAGACAGGAAGAACACCTGCAGCACCGGAACCACAGCGGCCCAAAAGCCCCCCATACTGATATATATACTCACACCTGTACACACACACACACACACAAACACGCCTGTACACTCACACCTGTACACACATAGCCTGTACACCTACTCTCACACCTGTACACTTTAAATACACCTAGAGTACCACCTGAACACTTACACACTCACCTGTACACCTGCACACTCACCTGTATGCCTATATAAATTTATATATACACACACCTGCACATCTAGATGTATGCGCCTATATCACACACACACATCTGAATACCTACACACTCACCTGTACACCTATTTACACTCACCCTTATGCCTATATATACATACACAACTGTACAGCAGGATGCTCACACCTTTACCACATACACGTGGACACCTACATACACACCTCAACACCTGTACACCTTTACATACATACACATCTGTATGCCTGTATGCACACCTAGATACATATACTTACACTACACACTCACTTGCACATCAACACATGCTCCCCTGTACTTCCTCACACACCTGTACACCTACACTCTGACCTGTATGCCCGCACACTTATCTGTACATCTATTTATCTATCTATAAACATACATATATCAAGCACTCACACCTATATACACACCTATTCTTCACACACCTGTGCCACACAGCTGTATTTAACTTCACGCAAACCATACACACCCACGGCACACACATCTGTACACGAGAGGAGAGACAAAAGAGTGTGTTTTACATCGACAGCACGAATTAACGTCTTTATATTAAGTGGCTTCAGTAATGTCACATAACCTATGGCGCTCAGGCATTTAACAAGTGAATGAATGAATCAATGAAAGAATGAATGTAAAACAGGACGTTTTTAGATGCGTATGAAATGTGACTGAAATGTAATCCTGTTTTAGTCTTTGAGTGCTGTGAGTGTTCCATAAGATCTGATCTACTGTACAGAAGAGCTTAACTTCATTATAATTAAAACAGTGCTAATTAAGAGTTTATAGTTAAATTAATGAGTGTAGATGAAGAGAAAGAACTCACCCGTGTGAAGTCCAGCTGAAATGTCCCATCACTCCTGACCTGCTTGTGTTTCACACTGCGCCTGTTGCGCCAGAAGGTGTGTGTGACGCTCCCTCTGAGTGGCTCTGACTCTGCCCTACTGACGGTAATGTGGACTAAAGGTCAGCAATTCAAACCTGCAGAACAGTGACATCCTGTGGACGAGCAGTGCAACTGCATTGAAAAATCTGAACCATCAGCCTGCTGGGAGAATGAAGAAAAGAATGAATGAATGAATGAATGAATGAATGAATGAATGAGTGAATGAATTATTTCATACAACATGTATGACCCAAGTGATTCTCAGTTGTATGAATGAAGGAATGAATGAACTGACCCCTGTGGCTGTTTCACGCTTGTTTGGTCGTCCACAGAGTCTGGGGTTTTGTTTTTTTGGGTTTTTGGGTTTTTGGGTGATTCTGTATCTTGTTCATTTTGTTCAGCTACTTTCACAGGGCAGCAGTCAAAGCACACCAAATTACACACATGGGTGTCCTTTGATTGGTCAGGAATTTGGCTCAGTTGGAATTTGGCTCGGATACTTTAGCGTTTGCCTCCATTGGTGCCAAAAGAAACAACATATTTTTTATTTTAGCTTTAACTAGCCTGTCGCTGGGTTTGGGGATTCAGTTGTTTGGTATGAGGCTGAGTACGACTGGAGTGACCACAGCTGTCCAAATAAACAGACCTAAAGAGTCTTTTTAATGATAATTACTGAATAATAATAGTCCTTAATAAATAATAAATCTCATTAATAATAACTGAACAATAAAAAGAAATGAATAAATCACTGAGTGCAGGAATGAATGAATGAATGAATACTGGAATAAATAAATGAATGAGTGCATGAATGAATGAGTGCATGAATAAGTAACTGAACTGATAAATGAGTGAATCAATAAATAAACGAATTAATGGATGAGTGAATTAATTAAGTGAATGAATGTGTACCCTGCACTCTGGCCTTTGTACACTGAATGAATGAATGAAAGAATTAATTAATTAACACTGCTTTCTGGTCTGTGTCCACTAAATGAATAAATGATTGAATGAATGACTGAATGAATGAATGGCTTGTGCAAACTCACTGTGTAAAATGCCTTTGTACACTAAATGAATGAATGAATGAATATCCTCTGGCCTGTGTGCACTAAACTAAAGCTCAGGAGTCTAAACGCTCTGTGAGTCTCTGATTTATCTCAGCACACTAGAATATAAATGGTGGGTTATTAGTTCAGTGCAGACACGTGTTCCACATTCGGAGCCGAGGGGGTCAGTCTGGGTGAGTGTTCCCTGAGTGATGAAATGAAAAGATATAAAGCAACAGAGTTGGCTGGAGATCCAGTCCAGAGAGTGAGTGAGAGAGTGAGTGAGTGAGAGAGTGAGTGTGGAGCATATGTGTGGAACAATCTGCTCTCCCCGATCGGAGCTCTGGTCTGAATATGGAACAGATCAGTGAAGCTCGGAGTTCCTGCGTTTGGGCTGTGAGAGGTTCCGCAGGAAGAATCAGCAGAATCTGAAAACAGCCACAGTTCATCAGGAGGCCAAGCACCGTGGCGACTTGACTAATCCGGCTCTGACACCGCTCTGCCAGTGCCGCTGCTCACAGCCTGCAACCTCTGACACACACATGAGGAACTGAGGCAGAGGGATTACTGAAGACCCCACTTACACACCAGAGTAACCCCCACCTCCCACCTCCCACCTCACCACTTCAGTTAGGACACTGCACCAGCTGGACGACTGTCCAAGGGACTGGACGGTCCGAAAGTCACACACCACCCTCCATTTATCCAATGTCCAGTCAAACAGCCATTACAGTTACTGATTCTTACTGAGAGCTGATTGGTTAGCATTACTGCTACTGAGTGCTGATTGGTTAACATTACTGCTACTGAGTGCTGATTAGTTGTTGAGCTTGAGTAAAGCAGTTTGCGCTCACTGATGTCATAAAGGCACATAAGACATTGTCAAGTTCTATAATTAGAGCTCAAAGGGATTCTATAGGATTCCATTCATTTTGGACTTACTCGAGAGCGCCCTCTAGCGTCTGACAAACTAGGAAGACATTACTGAGAGGCAGTTCTCCTCGATATACATTCTCCTATAGTGTTTCCCCAGCTTCTGAAAACTAAGCTATGCTCTTGTTTACGTCATAACATGACAACAGCTACTGAGAGCTGATTGGTTAACATTAGTGCTACTGAGTGCTGATTGGTTAGCATTACTGTTACTGAGTGCTGATTGGTCAGTATTATTGCTACTGAGTGCTGATTTATATATATATATATATATATATATATATATATATATATATATATACTCCTGTAGTGTTTCCCCAGCCTTTGAAAACTAAGCTATGCTCTTGTTTACGTACTAAAATATCAATGCTGTAAAATATGTTTTTATTTCAAATCATAATAAAAAATCTCCTGTTCTACTTACACGTTTCATGAGCTGTGAGTCAGAAACAGTTCATATAAAACTACAACATGACTTTGCTGGCCATAATTGTGAGTTCTAAGAGTTAACTGGAGTGTCTATTCTGATGATTTTACTTCTGACTGCAGAAAAAAGCTCTTACTGATCTTTTAATGCATTCACTCCCACATCAAAGTTTCCCGAGGTGCTAATTTTCAGCCTTAGTTAAACACAGTGCAGTGGAGAATGTACTACCGCAGAATTTCCTAAAGGCTGAAGCGTCTGCTCTGCTTTCCTGGGACTCTAATTTAAGATTACAATTTAGGTTTTAGACAGTTTAGACAGGATTACTCAGCAGGTCCTGCTGCTCTTCGGGCAGCAGCACCTTCAGGTCGTCTTCACTCGATGTAATGTCCGTAGTGTTTATAGCACTGTTTCACTATTCTCACATTCTTACAACTTTACAAAGTTTGATGGACGAAGGACTTTTCATCATTAACTGATATGTCTTTTATAGCCTATAATCTATTAGTTTAATAGAGCATCACATAGACCCCTGAAGTCGTGCTGTCACTCTAAAGTCCTGCCCAAGTAAGGAACTCTGAGTCTCTTTGTATTTTTATCTATGGGACAAACGAACAGTGGTTTTAAAAATAATTGGTTCTCATGCTCTGTGGTAAACAAAAATGTTCTAAATGTGATATGTTTTGTCCTTTGCACATTTTTTCCTTCTGAATGTCACTGGATCATCTAAATTCTGTGGTCATTAACCCCTAAAATGGCCAGGGCCCACCAGCAGGCCGAAAGTTTTATTACACACTTCTATAAACTAAGAATAGCTCAGCCAGTTGGCATTGAGGTCACTGTAGTTACTGAATAATAAGCCTTAGTATGTCATAAGATGGGATTTTAAGGGGTAAATGAATATTGCTACCAAGCTAACACACCTGCACATTGAACTGACATTGCATTAAAGTAAGACTATTATTAAAACTATTACTATTACAACACTATTATATAGACTTTTCTATCAAAGTAGTTCAAACTGCACACTCACAGTAAAAAAAAAACTATTTAAAACTTTAACTATTTAAAACTATTTAAAAAAAATGTAAAAATACTTTAACTAATTAAGTATTTAGATCTTGGATATTTACGCGGATTATGTCATCAACTATTTAAACTAAGGACGTTTACATGGATAGTAATAAGCTAAATATATTAAAAAAACACTTACAAGGTAATTTTTATTGGCAAATGTCTGTCCCAAAGGCGGAGTCCATAGTCGGTAGGTGGAGCCTTTTTTAGTCACGCCCCTGTACTTTAGAGCAGGAAGTGAGGCTGCATCCCTGTCCTTCATGGCCGCATGGTGAGCAGTTAGTGCCCCAAAGTCTGAAAGTCAGTGTGGAACAATAAGAATTGTCACTACCGAAACACAGATTTTCTGCAGTTAAGTACACTTTTTAATGTTTTAATGAACAATATGATGATTTTCTGTGTGAACAGCTGTTCAAAGCTGTGTTTGCTGGTTGTGTACTGCTGCGTTTTTGAGCTCAAAATGAGCCAAAATTGTCACTGAAACAGTCACTACTGACACATTTGGGAAAGTTTGGTAGAGTTGTGATTGTTTTGGTAGTGACAAAATGGAACGTTCAATCATTAATTTTAATAAAATAAACATAATTGAGGTCTAGGGTCACTCAAAGCAGAAGGATTTTAGCCTAAAGTCCAAGATTAGTTCCTAAATGTGTTTTCAGCTCTGACCTTAACCCAGTTCGATGGAATGAACCATTATAGTTGAATGATCTGTAAAACAGCGGATGCTCAAACTGCAGCCTAACGCTGCGATTCACGTTTGTGTTGAGAAAGGCGACATTCTGCACCTCATAGCGGTACATGGCCGATGGCGGGCCGACGCCACTCAAACACTGGCATGATGACCATGGTACCCGTGAAAATGGACGGGTTTTAGAGCAGAGCTTTGGCAGAGTAGATTGTTTTAAGGTGGAGAAAAGTTGGACAATACTGGGTTCATCAAGAAATTCAACAACAAGATGTTTGGCATCCAAGGCTACCCAAAGAATCAACATTTAAGTTTATTTCACTGCTGCGGTCGACGGCAGAAGTTGGGAAAATTGAAAATTTAACTCGTGCTGGAGGGTTCCGCTCACCGCTGCGTCTGCAGAAAGTTACCGCTGGCAGAATTTTCCATCATGGTTGATGAAAACAACAGAATATCTAGTTTGCAGTCGTCCAGCTACCGAACACACATGTGAACACAGCATAAAACTGCCTCTAAACTACCACACTGCACAGAGCCTGTGGTGTGTGTGGGGTATTTTGGTGAGGTCAGTCTTATGATGTCAGTTCTGCGCGTGGCAGTGTTAGCTTACATGTAGCGTTGTCAGTATTTTGGCTGCTAAATGACCTCGTAATTCAGAGAATCCAGTGACATTCAGAAAAATGTGTACAAGACAAAACGTATCAGCTTTGGAGCGCTGTAGTCAGTTTACCACACGGCGCGACAGCAGCGCATTAGCTCATAAGATCGTTGAGACTGACGTTATCATTAGCCTACACTGTTAACGTTCATTAACCTGCATCGTTAATGATTTTAAACTGACACTAAGAAAGATTTACTGTGTAAAATTCTGCTTCTGCTGAACTAACGTTACCTTTTTATTATTTAGAGCTATAAACTCTAAGTTAAAGCTGCTATAGCTAACTAGGCTAACTTAGAGACTGTTTACAAGCTAATGCTAACGCTTCAGTCTGGAGGGGAGGGTACGGAAGCGGAAAGGGGCGTGTCCTCGATATTTAAGCGTTTGTTTGAACGTATAACTTAATATTTGTTCATTTTTATGCAAATGTAATTGTCACAAAGGTAATTAAATAATCTCTGACCAGATTTTACTGGAATCTGATAATCCGGAGCTCCAAATAGCCTCAAAACTTCACTAAAGCTAACAAAGCACGATAATGTTTCACTCTCACTGTTCTGTCCAGGAGCTGGTCACTTTCTCACTTTCTCTGCTCCTTTCTTTCTCTACCTCTGTCCTTCCCTCCTCTCTCTCTCTCTCTCTCTCTCTCTCTCTCTCCCTCCTCCTCGTGTGCCGGGCTCACTCCTCCCCTCGTGCTTACCGTTTCTCTCTCTCTCTCTCTCTCTCTCTCTCTCTCTCTGTTGTGTTGTTCAGTTTTCTCTCTCTCTCCTCCTCCTGTACTCCGCTATGTCTCTCGCACTCCTCCTGCTCGTGCTGGCCTGCAGCCACGTCGCGCGCTCGGTGTCGGACAGCGCTCTCCCAGACGCGGAGCAGGGTGGGTGCCATTACTAATTCACACGCAGAGAGAAGGGATAATCAGCGATAATTCACAAACTAACTCACTAACTCAGCAACGCGGGACAGGGACGCTGCTGTGTTTGTGCTGCACGCGCGGGGAACCCGGCTTCCCTCTGTGTGTGTGTGTATGTGTGTGTGTGTGTGTGTATGAGCGCGCGAGGGGAGAGCTGCAGAAGTGTGTGTGTGCGCTGTCTGCAGCCCTGTAATGCAGCTTTAGGGTGTATAGAAACCCCTGCAAGTTTAGCGAATTTTGCTAGTTTCACTGCTGTTGCAAGTTTTGAATTTTTTTGCAAAAACTACAAGGTTTACATGTTTCACGCAACCAGGTTTACCAGGTTTACATGTTTCACGTTTCAAGCTTTCAAACTTGCAGAACTATTGTATTGTAAATTTGATTGTAATCCATTTATTTTGCAAACTTTGCATGTTTTGCGAGTTTCGAAACAAAATGTGCAGTTTTTGCATGTTTCAAAACTTTTGCAAAATTTGAAATTTTGTGTGTTGTAAAGCTTAAGCAAATGTTGTAGGTTTTGTTTTTGTTTTTGCAAAATTTGGCAAAATAACAGGTTTTACAACTTACGTTTTCACACAAATTGCATATTTTGAAATTGAGCAAAAACTGCAAGATTGCAGTGTTTTACAAGATTTTACCTTATGCAAAATTTGGAATTTTAGAACTATTGTAGCTGTTGCAAATTTGAAGAAAAAATCCCAAATTTTTGCAAACTCTGCATGTTTTGCAGGTTTTGAAACCTTTACAAAGTTGCAATTTTCATATGTTATAAAGCTCATGGGTATTTTGCGGATTTTGGTATTTTTTGCAAAATTTGGCAAGTTGTGTTTTACAACTTACACTTTTTTACGCAGATTGTGTATTTTGAAACTTGAGCAAAAATTGTAAAATTAAAATGTTTTACAAGATTTAAACTTTTGTAAAATTTGTATGTTTTGAAACTTTTAGAACCGTTGTAGCTGTTGCAAATTTGGCAAAATTTTAAAAACTTCCACAAATTTTGGTATGTTTTGCAAGTTTTTAAACTTTTCAGATTTTGCAAATTTTGCAAGTGATAGGTGTTTTAAAACTTTACAGATTTGCACATCTTTCATGTTTTACAGCTGTTGCGTGTTGCAGAGCTCCTGATTCCTTTGCGTAAACTACACAGATGCTGTAGGGTTTGTATTGCACTGGCTGACCTCTCTGGCTCTGGACTCTTCCTCTGCAGATCTCTTCATCAGGTCCCACTCTCACTTCTCTCTGGTCCGGCCGGTGCGCGTGGACGAAGCCGGACGCTTCCTGTCTCATGAGGTGTCTCACCGGCCCGCCGCAGACACGCATGTGTTCTACCGGCTGCAGCACAGCGAGCGCGAGCTCCTCCTCAACCTCACACTGAACCCTCACCTGCTCTCGCAGGACCACGTGGTGGAGACGCGGCAGGGCGGGAACGGGACCGGGACCGGACGGCGGGTGGAGAACGCCTGCCACCTGCTGGGCACCGTGACGGATGGGCACTTGCAGGGCACTGCCGCCGTGAGCACCTGCAACGGACTGGTGAGTACAGCTCCAGGTCTGCAGGGACATACAACTGACCTCATTAGCATAGGGTCATCACAACTGGGCAGCCTCTGTGCTGTGTAAATGGGGCTGTTTAATTAGCGTATAATGGTGTAATTAACATATAATGATTAGCATATAACCATGTAATTAGTGGATAGGTGATGCTGTGTATTTAGCACATAATTAGTGCTGTGTAATTAGCGTCTATATGGTACTATGTAATTAGCATATAACTGCGTAATTAGCGTACAAATAGTATTGTGTAATTATTCCTAATTTTCATGGATACATCATTTTAACAGTCATGACTGGACGCTGAAGAGAGAGGGGAAGTAACTTTAGCTTTGAGCTCATTAGCATCTGGCTCATTAACGGAGGTTATTCATAACTGGGCGGAGCATAAAGGGAAGTTGGATTGCATCATTAGCATATGCCTCATTAGCATATATTAATAAATATCGGATGGGTGTACATGTGAGGAGGTGGAGCTGCATGATTAGCACAGACGGAGAGAACACGTTCAACTGCACACGTGTGTCTCAGGAGAGAGAGAGAGAGGAGAGAGAGAGAGAGAGAGAGAGAGAGAGAACGAGGGGCTTCAGAGCAAACACACAAAACAAACACCCTCCTCTCTCTCACTCTTTCTCTCTCTGACTCACTAACACACAGGGCTCAGTTACTGCAGGATCAGCAGATACAACACAATACAACTTCTGATGAGAGAGAGAGAAAGAGAGAGGAGAACAAAGAAAGAAAGAAAGAAAGAAAGAAGAAACAAAGAGAGAAGGAAAGAGAGAGGAAAAGAAAGAGAGAAAGGGGAGAGAGAGAGAGAGAGAGACAGAGACAGAGACAGAGAGAGAGACAGAGAGAAGGGGAGAGACAGAGAGAGAGATGGAGAGAGAGAGAGGGAGAGAGAGAGAGAGAGAGAGAGAGCAAAAGAGACAGAAACAGAGAGAGAAGGGAAGAGAAAGAGAGAGATGGAGAGAGAAGGGGAAAGAGAGAGAGAGAAGGGAAGACAAAGAGTGAGAGACAGAGAGAGAAGAGGAGAGAGAGAGAAAGAGAGAGAGGCTCTCATGCTGTGGAGGAGAGAGTTTAGAAGTGTATCACTGTGTCATCAACCAGCATGAGTCACTGTGGAAAACATGAGATAGAGAAAGAGAACAGAGAGAGAGGAAAAATAGAGAAAGAGTGAGAGAGAACATAGAACAAGAGAAGAGAGAACAAAGAGAGAACATAGAAAGAGAGAACACAGAGAAAGAGAACACAGAGAAAGAGAACACAGAGAAAGAGAGAATAGAGATATAGACAGAGAAAAGAGGGAGAGAGTATAGACTGTACAGAGCACAGAGAGAGAGATATATATAGACAGAAAAGAGAGAGAGTATAGACTGTACAGAGCACACAGAGAGAGATATAGACAGAGAAAAGAGAGAGAGAGAGTAAAGAATGTACAGAGCACAGAGAGAGAGAGATATAGACAGAAAAGAGAGAGAGAGTATAGACTGTACAGAGCACACAGAGAGAGAGATATAGACAGAGAAAAGAGAGAGAGTATAGACTGTACAGAGCACAGAGAGAGAGAGAGATATAGACAGAGAAAAGAGAGAGAGTATAGACTGTACAGAGCACAGAGAGAGAGAGAGATATAGACAGAAAAGAGAGAGAGAGTATAGACTGTACAGCTGTCTGTGTTCACAGTAACAGTGTGTCACAGTGTGATTAACCCCATAATGACGTCTGTTAGAGATTAATGAACATCCCGGTTAGAGGTGATGATGTATGTGTGCAGTTAGCGCTGTGCTAATGTTGTGGTTTCAGCTTCCATTACATGTTAGCTGCATTAGCCTCATAGCTGCAGCGCTTAAACTAACGAAGCTGCGGTCAGACGCCAAACATGTCCTGTCTGATCTACTGTATTAGACCTTTACTGAGCTATCGCTTTAATGTGTGTGTGTGTGTGTGTGTGTGTGTGTGTATGTGTGTGTGTAACGTGTCCTGGTGTAACTCTGCTGTAGGCTGTGTGTGTGTTTTGGGTCAGTGAGAGCAGGAATGTGTTTCCCTGGAGACCCTCCCACCTGTCAATCAACAGAAGCTCCTCCACACCACTCTCTCTCTCTCTCTCTCTCTCTCTCTCTCTGCATCGTTAACTTTCACTGTTTAACTCTTCACTTTCCCATCACTAAATAAACAATCTGTGTCCAAACAAACGCTGCCTGTTCAGTCTGGACTGGTCTCTCCGTGTTATCTAGGTAGATTCAGCTGAGCTGCTCTCTGATTGGTTAGGACTTCAGGAGCTGAACTGAAGGTTTTACACATCAGATTATCTACCAATAAAATCAGAAACTGACAGAGAAATCAACCAAGCAAGGTTTGATTTACAATGGATGTGAGAAAAAACACTCTTCTGGAGATTCTAGGTACATCACTGACTGTAAATGTCAGCCATGATCTAAGCAGGTTTCGGTTGGTTGTTAGGAATGGAAAACAGCAGCGGCAGCTCTATGTCAGGACTCTTTACTGAAACAGTCACTTTAAAAATGATATATACAAGCTCAGATATATGCTAATGTCTGTAACAAGCTTCAAATGTGCATGTTTAATCTGGAACAGACAAAACATATTCATGTTGGCCAGCATTAGCTTAGTGCTAAGATACTACTAGACATCCCATAGAAGTGCTAGAAGTTAGTGTTAGTCTAGAGGTGTTTTTTTTCCACATTTTTTGACCGAAATTTGGCATTTGTGGCCCAAATTGAAGGCCTAGCTCCAATAATTATGGTTGATCTCTGACATTTATAGGGTGTTATTAATTTCAAATAATATTTGAATCTGTTCTACAGTTTCTCATTAGGTCGAATGAATAACCGACTCTGAATGTAGGTATTGTGATATAAACTGAGTCTGTTCTACAGTTTCTCATTAGGTTGAATCGGATTTTTAAGAGTTACATAAGAGCATATTTGTGGGCGGAGTTTAATGAGGGGAATTTAATGAATTACTGTCATTAATAGGGTCTTTGTTGTGTATTTAGGTCAGTAGATCAGAGGTTCAGTTGGCTTGAGCACTGTAGCGTAATGTAAATAATCTCCTAAATCAGATTTATTCTCTTTCTTTTTCTCCTGTAATGATTATTCCTGAATCAGGACAACACAAATAACTAAAGCTACGTTCACCACAGCAGATTCCATTCAGAGGACGCTATTTGGAGCAGAACAGATGCTACAGGAGCTCAATATGAACATAGAATGTCAAACAGCAGCAGTGTTTATAAAACTGCACTCACATTACCTTTCAGAGCAGGAGTGTGTGTGTGTGTGTGTGTGGTGTGTGGTGTGTGTGTGTGTGTGTGTGTGGAGGGAAGTAGACCACTGAGTGTGTGTGAGACAGTTTAACTCATTCAAGTCTAAATTTATACGTGTCTTTTTCATATAATGTTCACTCGTAATTGTGTAATCACATTTTTAATTACATATTACTTACACACTTAGTTACATAATGAAAGACACACCCATTTGATTTCTATTCTTTATTAACCGGTTCGTTCTGTTTGTCTTATGAGTAAAAAATGACAGAAACAGCAAAAATATAAAGGTTTTTTGCTGCACAACAGTAACCTTACAGAGCGATCACATGAATGTCATCACATGTGCTTTAGACTATCCACATATTATATTGCCTCATATGGACTTTTCACTGATTTTTCACATATTAATTACATGTGATCATGTATCAGTCACATCACACCAAAAATAAACCTTGACACACATGGTGATGTATAAATCACATCTGATCACATATAATCACACATGAATCACGTCACACATCATCACATGTGAATCAGTTATGTGACTTATACATCAGTTATGTGATTTATACATGATCACGTGACCACATATAAATCACGTCACGTGTGACCACATATAAACCTTGTCACATGTGATCACAGAAATCACTTTGTGTGTGATCACTTATAAGTCACATGTCAAACGTGGTCACGTATAAATCACGTCACACCACATATGAATCTTATGTCACATAAATCATTACATCACATCATCACATATACATCATGCCACACATGATCACATACAAATTACATGTCAAACATGATCATGTATAAATCACATAACATGTCATGTCCCACCTGATCGTGTATAATCACATTACATGTGATCCCGTACCAATCACATAATTGATCACATATAAATCATGTCACATGTGGTCACATATTAATCACATCATGTGATCACATACATCACATGTGGCATGTAATGACGTGTAAATCACATATCAGCATATGTCCTCATTGACATCACTGCCTGAAGGGTGAAGTGACACTCCAAAGCCTTACCATTTCACTCTTGAACTAGTTGATTATCATACTCATTTGACTAATTGTTGCAGCCTTAATCACATGTTCATCAGCTGTTGGTGCACCTTGAAGTATCTGAATTCACTCATTAGAATGTCCACCTGGACACTGATGGACATCAAACTGTCTCTCCTACTTACAAACACAACTGTGGTGTAGATTTAAAGTTTAGAATGTGCACTTTCCACGTAATGTCTCTGCTTTCCAATGAGCTGTGAAATAAATAAAATAACGTGATAGCTGTGACTTGGACGGGTTCTTCAGGATATTAAACTTCCCTCAGATCAGATCAGATCAGACCCCTACAGACCGTCTGAGCGTGTGTGTATGTTATCCTCTTTACCTCTAGGCTGGAGACAGGAACAGGAAGAGGAACAGGAACTGGAGAAATGCAGCACTCTCACATATGCATGCATCCCCCCTTCCATCCATCCATCCACGTCCTCCTCACACACATGGCTTCTGTATTCCACACAGTGTTATTATAACCTCCCCCAACACATAGCTGAGGAGAGAGAGACACAGAGACACACGGAGAGAGACAGAGAGAGTAAAAGAGAGAAAGAGAGACAGAGAGAGTAAGAGAGAGAAAGAGATACAGAGAGAGAGAGAGAGAGAGAGACAGAGAGAGTAAGAGAGAGAAAGAGAGACAGAGACACACACACAGAGAGAGAGAGAGAGAGAGAGAGAGAGCGAAAGAGAGAGGTAGGGAGAGGAAAGGGGTTACCATACCTTTGAGACAGATATACGTAAATGAGCTCTGTTCTGATTGGCTTCTCTATGCTGTGACTCATTCAGAAAGGTTAACGAGTGAACTATTCCAAACAGAGTGATAGTCTATAGCAACAACACTCAATTACAAATGGGCGGGGCTATCCAGCTATAGACTGAATGGGTGGGGCTAAACTGCTGTAGGCTGAATGGGTGTGGCTAAACTGCTGTAGGCTGAATGGATGGAGCTAAAGTACTGTAGGCTGAATGGGTGGGGCTAAAGTGCTGTAGACTGAATGGGTGGAGCTTAACTGCTATAGACTGAATGGGTGGGGCTAAGCTGCTTGAGGCTGAATGGGCGGGGTTAAACTGCTGTAGGCTGAATGGATCCTATGTAAATCTGTTCATGGCTGTGACATCACCTTAGCTTTCTGTATGGACTGGAGAGGGAATGGAGGGAAACCCTGTTCTCCATGATATGGGCTCTTTAATTTGATATGGGCTCTTTAATCTGTGTGTGTACATCACTGTACACACACACACACACACACACATACACACACACACGGCAGCGGTGAACGAGTGCATGAAATGCATTCTGGAATTTTGGCTCATTCTCATGCGGCCACAGACGCAGCTGGATTTTCTTACAAACACACACACACACACACACACACACACACACACACTCACACACACTCACACACTGGTTTGATAAGGTAAGAATGACCATAGAGATTAGAAATATTTCTGAACACACCAGTGAGAATTCCCAGACTCACTGATTCACTGACTCACTGACTCACTGGCTGACTGACTTAATCGACTCCCTGATGCACTGACTCATCAAATCACCAACTCACCAACTTACTGACTTACTGATTTACCGATTCACTAACTCACTGATATACTGACTCACTCACTGAATCACTGACTCTCTGACTCAATAACTCATTGATTTACTGATTCACTGATACACTGACTCACAAACTCACTGACTTACTAATTCACTGATACACTGACTTATTGTCTCACTAACTCACCAATTTACTGAATCACTAACTTACTGAATCACTGATGCATTGATGCACTGATGCACTGATACAGTGATTTACTGACTCACAAACTCACTGAATCACTGATGCGCTGATACACTGACACACTGATACACTGACTCACTGCCTCACAAACTCACTGACTTACTGACTGGTCTCAGTAACTCACCAATTTACTGATTCACTAACTCACTGACTCAGTAACTTACCGACTCACTGATACACTGACTCACTAACTCTCTGACTCACTGACTTACTAACATATGTCAGTGTGAGGTGTAAAGAGCTTATCTGTGCTCAACAGTGTAGAGATTTAGTGACTCAGGTGATGTAGTGATTTATAAGAACGAGGTAAACAGACTCCACTGAGACATTTCGGAACCCCCCCCCACAGCACAGAGAGAGTGTGTGTGTGTGTGTGTGTGTGTGTGTGTGTAGGGCTTGTGTAGACACAGTGATGGATTGCTGTGTAATCTGGAGTGATGAGCATTAGTGAAGTGTTAGGACTTGTACACACACATACACTCGCTGAATACAGAGGGAATGTGCTCAGGGCAAGAGTGAGAGAGAGTGAGAGAGGGTAAAAATACCTATTTGCATTCAGCTGAAGTTTGTTGCTTGATGTGTATTATTAGCTGGTATTACTACATATTAATAACACTACAATTGCCACTACTACTAATAATAGCAATATCTTACTGTGATGTCAAGCTTACATTGGGATTTTTGGAATCGGAATGGGAGTCGACTCCAGAATTTCTGGAACTGAGCAGTCTCGGTTTTTCCAATTTTTTAAAATTCCCCATAATTCAGTGTGTGAAATGTAAGCAGAGTAATTCAGAGTGGTTTGGTGTGAAATGGTTCAGAGGTCTTTACAGTGGTGGTGATAGGAACCAGGGGTCGCCATGACTACAGCACAAATATAGACATTTTATTTACTATCAAAACCACCAGTGAACCTACACGAGTCTTCTGAGTTTACATGGAATGTTAATGATGGAAAATAGTGGAAAACCTGAAATAATTATTTTTTAGGGACTCTTTTGCCTCACAGCACCTGCATGTATCCCTCCTCCATGAATGGAGTTTTAGGCCAAAATCTTCTCAAAACTATCATAAAACAGTGTCTCAGTCATCAGGCAGTGAATTCATAACCATTTCATGTAGTAACTTTCTGTGAGGGAGCTTTTAGAGGTGGACGTCTGGTTCCTATCACCACCACTGTGAACAGTTCTGACTCGGTAAGTTTCTCTAGAACAGAGCGTTTCACACCAAACCACTCTGAACGACTCAACAACATCTTAACCATTTAATTATGTGGAAATTCTGAAAGATTGGTGGAACTACCCTTTAAACCCCTTAAATGACCTGACCTGCTGTTGGGTCCACAAGTTAGGACTGGAACTGTTTCGTAATTTGCGGCCTGTCTTGGAGACACTGTGCTTCAGTACTGTGTGTTGAATTTCAGACGGGTCTGCTGACTCTCCCTGCTGGCGTGTTTCTGATCGAGCCTGTACGTGGACACACGCCGACCCCCGCAGACCCACACCAACCGCACGTCATCTACCACAACTCCACCTGGAGAAGCCCCCGAGCACGCCGCAGCACACAGACTGACCACAACCTCCACGGTGCCTGCGGGGTCAAAGGTCAGGAGCTATTACATTCGTAAAAACTGCGTTTCATACTAATGGACTCTCGTAGACACTGCTGTGTGTGCTAGCATGCCTGTGGCAGCCTGCTGTGAGTCATAAACTGTGTGCCTCAGAGCAGGGTTGGGAGTTATGACAGTAGTAAGGTAAACCACTGTGTCTAAAATGGTGATGGTGTTTCAAAATCCAAAATTATTACAGCAGATATCTCTTTTGCTGCCGACTGCTCTCCACTGTAGAGCCGAATGGCTCCTATGGCTGTTTTGTGTAGGTCATAGTTTCTTTTCCCTCAGATATGCTGCTAATTCAGGACCAGAAATAATGCCTCAGCGACGGCTAACAGACACCAGAGAACACTTTCGACTCTGGTTTTCACCTCATCACCAGTCTTTATTCCTTAAACGTGTGTAATTTTAACATGAGTTAGCTGGAATTGAGCCTATATTGTGGTGTGAGGCATTTTTGGCCTGCTGAGTAAGTTAACTCTTAAAACCTGCTAACTAAGCTAGAGTTAGCTGAGCTAACACACTACCGCTCCAAACACCACAGAACAGGTTTGATTTAGACCTCCCGTCATTCCAACACAAGTCACTCCACTTTGCTCTCTCAGATTTGACTCTTTATTCAATAAACATGTGTAATTTTAGCGTCAGCTAGCTGAAACAGAGCCTGTGCTGTGGTGTGTGAAACTTCTGGGCCTGCTAACTAGACTAGCGTTAGCTGAGTTATCACACTGCTGCTCCAAACACCACAGAACAGGTTTGATTTAGACCTTTTTTGAGTCTTTATTCTCTGAATGTGTGCAATTTTAACACCAGCCTATTGTGGTGTGAGGCACTTTGGGCGTGCAAACTAAGCTCTCATTAGCTTAGCTACCACAGACACCACAGAACAGGTTAGATTTCTGCTTTCTGTCCCTCCGACATAAGTTTTTATAGTCTACAGTTAGTCAGAACAGAATCTGTATTGACTGGATCTGTAACCCGCGCACTAAGCTAACATTAGGTTAGCTAGCAGGCTGCAGATCCAGACAGGTTTAATTTCACTTTTTTGTCCCTCCGATTCTAACCACTCAAGTTTAATTCATCATCTGAACTTGTCTTGGTGCTTTAGATAGCCACAGTTCAACATGTTCTGTGGTGAGCAGAGCTCTTATTATGCTAAACTAAACTAATGCTAACCAGCTTCTCGCTCCTAGTTAGCGGCTTTGTTTAACATTTAGCAGTTGTCGCTATGCGAATGTTTTGACGTTTATTAAATGAAGGACTGAAAATTGTGCACTGCTTTCACTTATTTGGTGACTGTGGAAGCGAAACTTTTTATTTGGTTGTTTTCAGTTTTTAAATAACTTTAGATGAAATGGCACAAAAGTGACATAAATAGAAAACTTGAGCAGCTATGCTAAGGTAATATATTACGGTAATATTTGACAGTATAAAAAAGTGCACACCAACCGTACTTCAGACTAAAGGGTATTTTAGTGTGTATATACATACAGAAGCAGTCAAAATCTATTAAGTATCAACATATGTGGAACTGTTTAGTCCATGGCTACCTACAACACACCTGACTGGCTTAAACACATTAAGGAAGACACGAATATCACACTATAATTAAACATTTGAACGAGGTACGATAGGTAGATGATAGAATGATTGAGCTTTTGCATTTTCACACAATTCAGTAACGCTCTACCTGAAAGCTACTACATTAAGTTTTTTAATCAAATTGTTTTAGAAGTAAATCCGTACAGAAGCATCTTCCAGATGGCTTTCAGATTTAAAATCTTTAAAATCTTCGACCTGTGTGTGTGCTTTTGGTGCAGATGGTGCAGCGTATTCAAAGCAGGTGGAGCTGGACAGGGAGCTTTGGGAGCAAGAGCAGAGAGACCGGACTGAACCGGATCGACCTGGACGCAGGCAGATTTCCCGCCGTTCCGTCAGTATGGAGCGCTGGGTGGAGACCATGGTGGTGGCCGACTCCAAACTGCTGCAGTACCACGGCAACAATAATGTGGAGAGTTACGTCTTCACCATCATGAACATGGTGAGACACCGAGACTGACTGAGTTACGGTTCAGAGTACTGACTCTGATTGATTGATTGATTGATTCAGGAGTACTGACTCTGATTGACTGATTCAGAGTGTATAGTTCATACTAACTCAGATAGATTAATGATTCAGCGTGTGTGATTCAGACTTATTCAGACTGATTTACAATATATGATTCAGACTTGTTCAGATTGTTTCATGATTCAGAATAACTGTGTTTGATTCAGGATTCACAACATATGATTCAGACTGATTCAGACTGATTCATTTGATTGGTATAGCGTAGTGGGTGATATGTGGTAGACTAGATTCAGGCACATCATGCTGTATCAGTAAAAGTCCTTGGGCAAGACTCCTAATGCTGTATTTGCCCATCTCTGTAACATAATTCAAATTATAAGTTGCCAAATGCCATAAATGTAAATAGAAATGATTCACAATTTAGAGTGCATGATTCAAACCTGCTTCTTTTGATCCATGATGCAGAGTTTTTTGTTTATAAATTGATTCATGGTTCATAGTGTATGATTCAGACTCACTGTCTGATTCTGATTCATGATTCAGAGTTTACACTGGCTTTGATTCACGATTCATCATGATTTGTTTCATGATTCATCTGTTATTCTTTTTAAACATAGACATGTTGCATTACTTACTTGCATGACTTGTTTTTAGTGTGATCTGAAAATATTTTTTATTTTTTTGATCCAGTTTTGTTCAGATGCTGAACCAGGTGCCAGTGTGAATGTATGTGTTTGTGTTATTGCAGGTGGCAGGTATTTTTCATGATGCCAGTATCGGTAATGCCATCCACATCATCCTTGTAAGGCTCATATTGCTGCAGGGAGAGGAGGTAGGAACAAAGCTTTCACTTAGGAGTCACGATTCCTGATTCATTTAACTTCATACATTTTTTCTGTTCATTTACTGTTGGATCATTAGTAAACTCAAACAATGCATGTGCAACCCATACTCACAATGGGTTACTTAAGCTATAAGCTGAAACAATGACGTTTACATTTGATTTACATGCAACAGGTCTTCACTTCTGACTTTTTTAATGTTGAAAATAAATAATGGAGACATCTACAGCAGGCAATTACCCTGCACAGAGCCCAGCGCACCTCAGAACAGAAAGCTTCTTTGTTGCTTCTGTTTTAGTCACATTGTTCTTACTGAGCAGAGAGGAACTAATGTTTCTTTGCCTCCATCTCAGTCACACACTCTTCATTAGCTCCATAACTAAGATACTAAATCACGAAATCAACCACACCCTGTCCCACCAGCAGCTCTGAGTGTGTGCAGCTGTGTGCTTTTCCTGGGAAAAATGAAAAAGCCTCATTCTGGCCTCATTCTTGAAATATAGTTCCCCAGAGTAACTCTGCATAATCAGATTGGCTCTGGTTGATTCATGAGTCACAGTAGATGGTTTCATTTGGCTCTGTATGAGTGGACTGGGATTAGTTGTCTGATTCATGATTCAGAAGGAATCATTCAGTTTGATTCTTTTTGATGTATGATTTAGAATATATGTCTCTTTAATTTATGATTTGGAGTGTATGATTCAATTTAACTCTTTTTGATTCCTAATTTACTGTGTGCTTCATATTGTCTCTGTTTGATTCAAAATTTACAGTGTGTGATCCAGACTGGCTCTGTGTGATTCATGAAACACAGTGTATAGTTCAAATTGGCTGTGATTGATTCACAATTTGGAGTGTATGATTTACAGTGATTGTGTTTGATTTACCATCAATAGTGTGTGATTCATATGGGATCTTTTCATTTCATGATTCAGAGTCTGTGATTTGAACCGGCTCCTTCTGATTCATTGTTTACAGTGCATGGTTCAACTTGGCTTGGTTTGATTTATAGTTAATAATGTATAATTCAAATGGAATCTTTTTGATTCACAATTTACAGTGTGTAATTCCAACTGATTCTATTTGACTTGTGAATGAATCAAATATAGTCTATATGATTCATGATTTGGAGTGTAGGATTCAATTGTCTCTATTTGATTCAAAATTTAGAGTCAATGATTCAGAGGGGAAGAATCAGACTGGCTCTTTTTCTGTGTTAATGTGTGCTATAAAACTGCCCTTCAGTTTTATGATTCTTTTGTAATGCGTTTTGTATGTGTGTGTGCATGTGTGTGTGTGTGTGTGTGTGTGTGTGTGCGTGTATTAGAAAGGACTGAAGATCGTTCATCATGCAGATTCCACCCTCTCCAGTTTCTGCAGCTGGCAGAAAAACGTGAACCCCCAGAGTGACACGCACCCCTGCACATCATGACGTTGCTGTGCTCATTACAAGGTCACTCGCACACATACACACAGACACACACAGACACACACACACGACTGCAATGTAGTATTGCGTGTTCTAGACTCTACTGAGTTCTAGATCCTTAACTCTAGTTATGTGCCTAGACTTCTCTATATCACAATACCTACATTTAGAGTCAGTTATTCATTCAACCTAATGAGAAACTGTAGAACAGACTCAGTTTATATCACAATACCTACATTTAGAGTCAGTTATTCATTCAACCTAATGAGAACAGACACAGTTTATATCACAATACCTACATTTAGAGTCGGTTATTCATTCAGCCTAATAAGAAACTGTAGAACAGACTCAGTTTATATCACAATACCTACATTTAGAGTCAGTTATTCATTCAATCTAATGAGAAACTGACTGCAAAGTACACTAACTTTGCTGAGGTACCTGTATATATGCTATTATTTTGTAAGTACAGGAAGGACCTGTGCGCAGGTAGGAATGAGCCGTGTGAAACGCTGGGCCTGTCTCACCTGTCCGGAATGTGCCAACCGCATCGATCCTGCAACATTAACGAGGATTCAGGGCTGCCTGTGGCCTTCACCATCGCACACGAACTCGGACACAGGTCAGTGCGTACATGTGCTGTTTTTAATGTTATAAATGCCGTCAAGCCTTATGACATGATGGCTATTATGGGGTTTTTGGCAGAGTGCGCAGCTGTACCCAGTGTAGCCATTCACCCTCGAGAGTAATGTGTTTGTACATGTGTGTAGTTTTGGTATCCAGCATGACGGTCAGGGGAACGACTGTGAGCTGGACGGTAGAAACCCCTTCATCATGTCCCGACAGCTTCAGTACGACTCCTCCCCCCTCACATGGTCTTCCTGCAGCAAAGAGTACATCACACGCTTCCTGGAGTGAGTACACACACCTTCTTAAACTCGAATCAACATAAACTAGGACTAGACTGCCTCTCCAGTGCCTTTGATTCAGTGAATAGGACAGGATACAGGATGTATTATAATGTGTCCATCGCTTTTTAGAATTATCACTTTAAAAGGTTGCATTTATTCGCCAGTGTAACGTTGACTAGTGACAAATGTGTCCGACTCTATAAATTTTCCCCCTCAAACAAATGACTATAATAACTCAGAATCATTTATTAAGTCAGAAAAAGAACATTTTCCTTCCAGAGTGTAAAAATAAGAGCAAAAACAGATTGTTCTCTAGGCGCTAATATATATGCTAGCGCTATTATCCTTGTATTGGTAGTGTTGGGTGGGTATTAGGGCAACTCTGAATATCGTATAGACATATAATAGCATATATTAGTGTATAGCTCCACCTGCAGTGACTCATTCAGGCAGTCATTCAGAGCCTCAGTCAGTCAGTCGGTAATTCAGACAGTCAGTGACTCAGTCAGTTAGTCAGTGACTCAGTCAGTCAATTACTCAGTCAGTCAGTGACTCAGTCAGTCAGTGGCTCAGTCAGTCAGTCTGTGGCTCAATCAGTCAGTAACTTAGTGTTTTAGTCAGTCAGTTAAATACTCAGTCAGTCAGTGACTCAGGCAGTCAGTCAATTACTCAGTCATTGACTCAGGCAGTCATTCAGTGACTCAGGCAGTCAGTCAATTATTCAGTCATTGACTTAGGCAGTCAGTCAGTGACTCAGGCAGTCAGTGACTCAGTAAGTCAGTCAGTCAATTAGTCAGTCACTCAATTACTCAGTTAATCAATCAGTCGGTCAGTCACTCAGTCACTCAGTGACTCAGTCAGTCAGTCAGTGTCTCAATCAGTCAGTCAGTGACTCATTCAGTCAGTGACTCAATCAGTCATTCAGTCAGTGACTCAGTCAGTCAGTCAGTGACTCAGAGGAAATAACTCTGACAATGTTAAACTATCAAATTAAAATGTGAAGTATAAGCATCCAGATTCATTAAAAAGTTGTAAATGCACCTACAAATAACACTCGAATGATGACATTATGGGAACCTTTAGCATAGGAATCTGGACTGACTTCAAGAGTCAACAAACTCTCTCTCTTTGTTTATCTCTCTATCTGTTTATCGGTCTACCTTAGTCGCGGTTGGGGTTTTTGTCTGGATGATCGTCCATCTAAGAAGGATCTGACCACAGCTCTGGTGGCTCCGGGGGTCCGGTACACTCCGCAGCATCAGTGCCAGATGCAGTACGGCCCCAACGCCACCTTTTGCTCAGAGATTGACGTGAGACCACTTCTACTGTTCACTAGCAGATTAATAATCAGAGAAATGTTTGATTTTCACTGTTACTTTTCAATGAAGTAAAAAATGCTGATGCTTTGTGTATATTAATCTTCAGCTCTCAGCTTCATGTTCATCAAACTGTCTTCCTCTGTAGGAGGTGATTTCACAGGTTTCTTTTCCAAATTATTGTTAAAAGTACAAACTGAACCTCTGTTGGTCCAAAGGTGGTTTAAGCTCCTGAAAGGTCTTAGTGCTGATGAGTGCTGACTTCACAGTATTGCGTATCTGTGTTGTTTGTAGAACGTGTGTCAGATCCTGTGGTGCTCTGTGAACGGATCCTGCCGCTCCAAACTGGACGCGCCTATTGATGGGACCAGGTGCGGCCCGGGCAAGGTGGGATACTTTATATGATGTCAGAAAAAGAGTGTGCTAACTTATGCATATGTACTGCTGATAGGTAGGTAGTGTTTTAGTAAGTAATTGCATTTCTGATATAAATTTAGAGGTATAATTATAGTTATGTCTCCTCACGTAACTCCATTATTATTTTGTAACAATGTTACAATTCAATTATTTGATATGATTCAGAATTATTTTTTAAAAATGAACAAAACAAACGAAATAGATAATAAAAACAATACACCATGTTTTTTTCTTACATTTAATGAGTTAATACTGTACATATATTATATTGAATGCTCTTACTGTGTGTCTGTGTGTTTGTGTGTGTTAGTGGTGTATCTCAGGTGAGTGTGTGATTGTGGGGAAGTTACCTGAGATGGTGAATGGTGGGTGGGGCCAGTGGAGCACCTGGTCTCACTGCTCACGCACCTGTGGCTCTGGTGTCCAGTCAGCGGACAGAGAGTGTGACCAGCCCAAGTATGACTCCTACAGTGCCTACATCGCTTTCTTTTTCTCTCTTTCTCTCCTTCTTCCAAACTTTTGGCATATAGTGTGTATCTAACCCTATATACACTGTTTAATATTGGGTTTAATGCCCCTCTCTCTCTCTCTCTCTCTCTCTCTCTCTTTCTATCTCTCTCTTTCTCTCTCTCTCTCTAGGCCGGCGTTCGGGGGAAAGTATTGTACAGGAGAGCGTAAGCGCTATAGAATCTGTAGCACGACACCGTGTGCTCAGAAGCATCCTACGTTTCGGGAAATGCAGTGCAGCGAGTTTGATACAGTGCTGTATCACAACCAGCTTTACCAGTGGATCCCTGTCTCCAGCATCAGTAATCTTTATTCATCACACATCACGTTAAACATCACATCACCCATCACATTAAACATCACATTACCCACCACATTACCCATCACCCGTCACATTAAACATCACATTACACATCGCATTACACATCGTATTACACATTACATAATCTATCACCTTACGCATCACATCACCCGTCACATTCAACATCATATTACCCACTACATTAATTATTTTCCATCACATTAAACATCACATTACACATCACTTTACCCATCACCCGTCACATTAAACATCACATTACACATCACATTACACATAACATTACCAATCATCCATCACATTAAACATCACACAACACATCACATTACCCATCATCCATCACATTAAACATCACATTAAACATCACACTAAACACCACATTACACATTGTATTACACATCACATTACACATTACATTACCTATCGCGTTATTCATTGTATTGCCATCTCATCATCTATCATTTTTCACCTTACCCAACATTTATCACATCAACCATCATGCATCGTGTTACTCATCACATCACACTATCCTTGGCTTTAGCCTTTGTTTTGTTCCAACAGTGTCGATATTTTGTAGATTGAGCTGAGATGATGATGATGTACATTAATATGTATTCTGAATGTTTAAGTTCATTTCTAACATGTTTATGTTTGTATTTAATGCACATTTTTTTCACACATTGTCTTCAGCAACTGCACAAACTGATTCAGTCGTGAAGTTATTTGGGGTTTAATGTACCACATTCACTTTCCCACAATGCTCTGCTTTGACTCCTGTAATTAATGCTCAGTGTGAGGTTAAACAGTGGTGTGTACTGCCCGGAGCTGCTGTGTGTTCCAGTAGGAGACATTATCTCTGCTCACATGACCCAAACCACAGGACCACAGACCAACCTGCCTGTACTTCAGCATTCAGAGTGATCGCAGTGCAGGACTGTAGAAATCTGCTTGTAATTAATGCAGAATTAGATTCTACGATCACAGTTTAATCCAGTTCCAGTCACTGTAGATCTGCAGTTCCGCCTCTGCTGACTGTGTGGGCTCGCGGCTGTACTGGGTGCTTTTGAAGAACTCTTCTAAACACCACAAACCTGGAGGAGTGATGGTGGACTCACAATCTGAGTCACTGGGCAGAATTCCAGTCACTGCAGGGAAGCTGCAGATGTTTTGTTTCATGTTGATTTCTGTATTTTAGGCTCCGAAGCTGAGAATAGAAGCCGTAATTGCACACTGCAGCAGGCTACATTATTATAAAACATGGAAAATAGGCCTGAGAAGGTTTCCTCCTTTCAGTTTTTGGAAATTTTGGCTTTTTCTTCCAGGCTTTCTGAGGCCTGGCGTGCATTTTGTGTTCGCAGCCGTGTGTGTGTGGGTCAGTGTTTACACAGTGTAAACAGTTTACAAAACCAGAGCAGCTCCAAATAGATCAGTTCAGAGAAGAACACTGTTCTTTAACCCCTCTGGAATTGTTATCGTCAGTGTGCTGTAATGTTTAAATGTTATTAACACTATTAATTACATATTTTACATATACATATTTTATGCAATTACATTTGCATTCAAGTCATAATAAAGTATCTCCTCTTCTACTTACAGACACTAATATAGTCTGGATTGAAAGTTTAGAATCTGCACTTTCCACACAGCTTCTCTAATTGTTTCGGGGATCTACGAGACATAATTTGTATAGAATTACAGCATGACTTTGTGCTCAACTGTGCTTCTAATTTTACTTTAGTAAGGCTTTGTTTTATATACTTCTATTTTTCTATCTCTTTCTCTTACTCACCTTTGCTCCCACACTCAGACCACCCGTGTGAGCTCCACTGCAGGCCGGTTAATGAGGACTTCTCGGAGAAGATGCTGGACGCTGTAACAGACGGGACTCCGTGCTTCAGTAACAGCAGCAGGAACGTCTGCATCAATGGTGTGTGCAAGGTAGAGTGACAGAGTATTCCCCTTAGCAACCACCTGCGACACCAAAGCAACAGCCTAGCAGCACCTTATCAAGCGTCTGGGATTCTATAGCAGCGGCTTAGCAACACCTTAGCAACCATGTGGGATAACATAGCAAAGGCCTAGGAACACCTTAGCAACCACCTGGGATACTATAGAAACAGCCTTGCAACATCTTAGTGACCACCTGAGATTCCAGAACAATGGCCTAGCGACACTTTAGCAACCACCTAGAATGACACAGCAAAGGCCTAGCAACACCTTAGCAACCACCTAGGGTACCATAGAAACAGCCTTGCAACACTTTAGCAACCACCTGAAATTCCATACCAAAGGCCTAGCAACACTTTAGGTACCACTTGAGGTGGGTAATCCAGGTCCAAAAAGTAAAAACCCTCCCCAGGATTTTGTTCCAAAACAAACAAAACAAAATCCTGGGGAGGGTTTTTATTTTTTGGACCTGGATTACCCACCTCTAGCTACCACCTGGCATCTCTTAGAGAAGGCCTTGCAACGCTGTCTAGCAACACCTTAGCAACCACCTGGGAAAATATATAAAAACCTTAGCAACACCTTAGCAACCACATGGGATACCATAGCCACAGCCTTGAAACTCCTCAGCAACCACCTGAGATTCCATAGCAATGGCCTAGCAACACTTTAGCAACCACCTAGTATCCCACAGAAGAGGCCTAGCAACACCTTAGCAACCACCTGGGATTCCACAGCAATGGTCTAGTAACACTTTAGCAACCACCCAGCATACCATATGAACAGCCATGCAACACCTTAGCAACCACCTGAGATAACATAGCAAAGGCCAAACAACACCTTAGCAACCACCTGGGATAGCTTATATACAGCCTTGCAACACCTTAGCAACCACCTGGGATAGCTGGGAAGGACTTCAGCTATTTGATAATTCCATAAAGAGTATGTGTGGATGTGTACAGGCGGTGGGCTGTGATTATGGAATAGACTCTAAAGCTGAGGAGGATCGCTGTGGAGTGTGTTTGGGTGACGGCTCCAGCTGTGAGACAGTGAGAGACTCCTACACAGAGAAAGACGGATATGGTACCTCACCTTCTCCATCACACATACCTCACACTATACTTCACCTCCTCACCTTCATCACACACACCTCACACTGTACCTCACCTTCTCCATCACACATACCTCGCATTGTATCTCATCTGCTCCATCATGCATACCTTGCACTGTACCTCACCTTCTCCATCAAACATACCTCACACTGTACCTCACCTTCTCTATCACACATACCTCACACTATACCTCACCTCCTCACCTTCATCACACACACCTCACACTGTACCTCACCTTCTCCATCACACATACCTCGCATTGTATCTCATCTGCTCCATCATGCATACCTTGCACTGTACCTCACCTTCTCCATCACACATACCTCACACTATACCTCACCTTTTCCAGCACACATACCTCATACAGTACCTTACTTTCTCCATCACACATACCTCACAGTGTACCTCATCTTCTCCATCACACATACCTCACACTGTACCTCACCTCCTCACCTTTATCACCCATACCTGATACTGTACCTCACTTTCTCCATCACACATACCTCACACTATACCTCACCTCCTCACCTTCATCACCCATACCTCATACTGTACCTCACTTTCTCCATCACACATACCTCACACTATACCTCACCTCCTCACCTTCTCCATCACACACACACCTCACACTATACCTCACCTCCTCACTTTCTCCATCACACACACCTCACACTGTACCTCACCTCATCACCTTTTCCAGCACAGATACCTCTCACTGTACCTCACCTTCTCCATCACACATACCTCACACTGTATCTCACCTACTCCATCACACATACCTCACACTGTACCTCACCTTTTCCAGCACACCTACCTCACAGTGTACCTCACCTTCTCCATCACACATATTTCACACTATACCTCACCTTCTCCATCACACATACCTCACCTTCTCCATCACACATACCTCACACTGTATCTCACCTACTCCATCACACACACACCTCACACTGTACCTCACCTTCTCCATCACACATACCTCACACTGTACCTCACCTTCTCTAGCACACATACCTCACTATACCTCACCTCCTCATCTTCATTACACATACCTCATACAGTACCTTACTTTCTCCATCACACATACCTCACACTATACCTTACCTCCTCACCTTCTTCATCACACACACCTCACACTGTACCTCACTTTCTCCATCACACATACCTCACTATACCTCACCTTCTCTATCACACATACCTCACCCTTTCCAGCACAGATACCTCACACTGTATCTCACCTTCTCCATCACACCTACCTCACACTGTATCTCACCTTTTCCAGCACACCTACCTCACACTGTACCTCACCTTCTTCATCACACAAACCTCACACTATACCTCACCTTCTCCATCACACATTCCATACAGCTCACCTGAACACAGATGTCGGCTGATGATCATGCAGATTAAGCAGTGAGTGAACATCATGCTGTTAGACTGTACTGATAGGGGCTTTTCTAGGAGCTTTTCCATTACAGTATTATCAGTAACTGAGTTTGTATGTGTGTCAGGTTATGTAGACATGCTGCTGATCCCAGAGGGAGCACGGGACATCCTCATCCAGGAGGTGCAGGAGGCAGGGAACTTCCTGGCCGTGCGTGCGGCAGATTCGGAGGATTATTTCCTCAACGGGAATTTTATCATCCAGTGGAATGGAGAGTACAGAGTAGGCGGAGCCAAATTCTACTACGATCGTCATGGTAACCTGGAGAACCTCACTTCTCCTGGACCCACCACACAGCCAGTCATGGTGCAGGTACACACACACACACACACACACACACACACAATAATGTGTGTAGTAACTGATTTTCACACATTTTCATTTAGCATCAAATATAAATGATAAAATATGAATAATTTGATTTATACATTTTATATATTGTACTTTTCTATTTCTGTATTCGTGTAAAATAATTATTTATTTTTTCTTGCTCAGTTCAATAGCGCTAACTGTCAGGTTGTAATATAATATCTGACATGTCTGGTATCTGGACCAAACATTGCCTTGAAAAAAGATGTCTTTATTTATACTTTTAATTGTACAAGGACAAAAGATACAATAATAATATTTAATATAATATTTCTCTTTGCAGCTGCTGTTCCAGGAGCCAAACCCAGGAGTGCGTTTTGAGTTCACAGTGAAGAAGAGCCGCCTGACCGGTAACGAGCTGCTGGAGCCTGAATACAGCTGGAAATACGGAGCCTGGACCGACTGCAGCGCCTCCTGTGGGCTAGGTGGAGAAGTACACCTCATTTCACATTCACAAAACATGGTCTTGGATTGAGAACCACAGGTTGTATAAAAGCTCTGCTAAAAGAAGAATTAAAATCATATATATTTATACATGAAGTGCATTATGGTTGCAATTGTCATAATTACCATCAGTGCATTATGGTTCTGGTTACTTTCAATGCATTACAGTCAATGCCATAGTTATAACCACTGTTTATAGTCGCTGATGTCATTATTACCATCAGTGCATTATAGTCGTGATGTCATCGTTGCCATCAGTGCATTACAGTTGATGTCATAATTATAACCATTGCATTATAGTTGCTGATGTCATAATTACCATCCATGCACTATGGTGATGATGTCATAATTACTTTCAGTGTGTTATAGTCAATGTCATAATTATAACCAGTGCATTATACTTGCTGATATAATTACCATCTGTGCATTATATTTGCTGATGTCATTATTACCATAATTGCATTTTGGTTTCTGATGTCATCATCACCATTAGTGCATTATGATGCTGATGTCATAATTACTTTCGGTGCATTATAGTCAATGTGATAATATTATAACCAGTGCATTATAGTTGCTGACCCCGTTCTCTCGTTCAGGTGAGCAGCAGCAGCCCGTGCGCTGTTTTGAGGAGGACATGGGCGTGGTGGACGAGGCCCTGTGTGACCCGAACACTCGGCCGGATGACCAACATCGCAAGTGTAAGAACAGGGACTGTCCAGCCAGGTCAGCGTCTCTCCACCCTAAACACTGTAAAAGTTTGTAATCTAGTGCATCTGCTTCTGAACAGTTTCAACTGAAGAGTCTGTTTACTGCCCCCAGGTGGTGGGTGGGGGGATGGCAGCCGTGTTCGTCCTCCTGTGGGTCAGGGGGTCTGCGGAGGCGGGCGGTTCTGTGTGTGCGGACTGCGGGCGGAGAGGAGCGGGTGCTGCCCCCTGGAGACTGTAAACATCTCCCTAAACCCAAACTGGCCGTGCCCTGCAACAGAGACGTCACCTGTGGGTCAACCTGGGCTGTAGGCAACTGGAGCGAGGTGAGGTCACGGGGTCGCGGGGTCAGACGGGAGGTGCCCGTCAATCATTGAGAAAAAAATTTCACCACAGAAAAATCAGATTTACACAGTTTAAAGTTTGCCATTTAAAGTTTTGCACTGAATTGTGTTTCTTTATCTGTTTTGTGTCATTCCTGTCCGGATGCTCGTCCACTGACTGTCTTCTTTTGTCCTGCAGTGTTCTCTCAGCTGCGGTGGAGGGGTGAAGTCCCGTACTGTGAGGTGTTTGACCGAACCCAAGGTGTCCTGTGACCCCGTGACCCGACCTCGCTCCACCACCTTCTGTAACCTCCAGAGCTGCTCCTCCAACCACAGGCCCCGCCCCCACCCTCAAAAACCCACCCCCAAAGTCCCTACCCACACCACCAGGACCCCACCAGCTCCCACACGCACACCGGTCCCAGACGTGCTCCACGAGGACGATCAGGATTTCATCCTAGTGAAGAACGGCAGCGCAGAGGACCACACGCACACCACGGTAGGACTGGACAACAAATCTTATCACAATAATTTTTTCCATATCATGTATTATGAGCAGTCATTGATAAGTACTATGTACATTTCTTAATGCTCAATATTAGAATAAAAATAATTATTTTTATTTTAATAAAAAACTGAATAGGTATTTGCAATCTGAAGAAAACAAAAGGCTTATTCTGGCAGTTTTCAATAATAACAATAATAATAATAATAATAATAATAGTAATAATAATAATGATAAATTGCTATCACATCTCAATACTTAGCACTGCACCAGTTTTTAAAGGGCCCATATCATACATCTTCAGTTATAATGTTTTTGTGGTTTTATGCACCAAATGTAGCCATAATTCAATTCGATGTGACCATTTGTAATCCCTTAGAATTAAACAGGCTGTTTTTGTTGATGTGCCTTTAAGACTGATATATGCAAATGAAACTGATAAATGTAAATGTGCTATATTCTGATTGGCTGTGCTCATTCAAAAAGCACTCAGAGCTGAAACACTGGCTGGGCTAAACTGTAGGGATGTTGCTGTCACCTCTCAGCAAGAAGGATCTGGGTTCGATTCCCCAGTCGGGCGACCGGAGTCCTTTCTGTGTGAGTTTCCTCACACAGTGTAAAGACATGCAGTCAGGCCAGTTGGACATGCTAAATTGCCCCCCTAGGTATGTGTGTCTGCCCTGTGATGGACTGGTGACCTGTCCAGGGTGTTTCCTGCCTTCCTCCCAGTGAGCGCTCGGATAAGCTCCAGCACCCAGTGCGGCTTTGAAGATGAATGTGTTAACTGCTGTTGGCTGAATAGGTGGAAATGACGTGGAACTTTCACAACGTTTATAGACTATTTTATATACTCCTTAAATGGCCAGAGCCCACCAGCAGCCCAAGTTTTATTATGCACTTCTATAACCTAAGAAAAGCTCAGCCAGTTTGCACTGAAGTCCCTGTAGTTATTGAATAATAAGCCTGGGATTTTAAGGAGTTAAACTCCTGTATTTCAAGAAAGTGAGAGAAATGTGGTTTTCCATGCTAAGGGCCCTTTAAACATCACAATACACGTGTATCATGTTTCAAGTATGGTGATAATATTGTGCTGTAGGGTCTGTAGTGAACCCTGCAGGTATTTCATACACTTTGGTGCTGTTAAAAGCTGCACTTTTTCTCCTGTAAAGCTCACATAGTGCCACCTAGTGTACTAAAGTAGCACCTGTTTACAGTATAAGCCTTGACTGCTAATACTGGACTGAAAACAGACACATAATTGAATCTACATACGTTATTGAAATTGAAAAAATGTTTGATTTTTATAGTAGTTGTTATTGCTTTATCATCCAGGCCAATCCTGGGGTCAGTGAGGATGAGGAGGGCAGCGCTGACCTACAGCCGCCCGACAGAGGCTCCAGGTACACACCAGGTTACGACTACATAGTGGAAGAAGATGGAGGTGATGAGAGACAGAGTGTGTTTACCATCCGGCCCCCTCTGACCACAACCGCACCCCCGCACACACCGCTGACCACAGCTAAACCGCACTGTACTGCTGAACCCACACGCGTTCTTCTGACCACATCTACACCAGCCATTAAAACACACGCATACACCAAGGTTGCTGTGGCCACCATCAGAGACCACCCTTACAATGGCCATAATGCCAAAGCAACTGCACACCTCCACACCACACCTGCCTCATATACACCAACACGGAAGACGGCGAGGGACAGCAGCGGTCAGTCTGAGAGACACCACTCCCCTGTCGTCACCCACACAAAGCTTAAGAAGATCCTCACAGCCAGGAGCCCCAGCAAAGCCAAAGGCCAAAAAACACCCGCACATGCCCCAGGTGGAGCGGGACCCAGCACAGCGGCATTCTGGGTGGTGGGCAACTGGAGTGAGGTAAATATTTACAGCGTCAACACAATTTTACCACGTTTTAAAGTGTCAGTGCTGGTGGGCCGTGTCTCTGACCTGTCTGTGTTTGTGTCAGTGTTCAGTGAGCTGTGGTTTAGGTGCAGTTTGGCGGAGAGTTTCCTGCAGTTCCGGGTTGGACGCTGACTGCAGCAGTGTGAAGAAACCTGAACCGGCGCAGCACTGCAACCTCAAACCCTGCGCTACCTGGCACACGTCCAAGTGGAGCAGGGTGAGCACTCACACACACATGCACGTAACCATTGAGCAGGTCGGTCAGTGCCCAGTCATACACACTGTACCACTGTAGAGCAGAAACTGCTGCGATATCAAAGACAGCCACTAGAGGGCAACATGAAACTGCTCACTTTTCTGACTTACTGTTTGTGTGTGTGCGCAGTGTCCAGAGGGTTGTGTTGGTGGTAAGAAGCAGCGTGACGTGCAGTGTGTTGACTCTCAGAGTGGACGGGCGCTGAGGCCGTTTCACTGCCAGGCTCTGGCCTCCCGGCCCCCCCGCACTCTGCCCTGCAGTACCCAACCTTGCCTGCAGTGGGCGCACTTACCCTGGGGATCGGTACTGACCTCCACTCTCTCACTGTAACACCCCTGACTTCACTGTTTACCGAAGTGGTAGATGGTCTGGGGTCGTTTTACTCCTGGTTCCTATTGTTTCCTTAATTGTATCTGCTCTCTTTCTGTCCATCTGTGTATCTAGTGCTCTAAAAGCTGTGGTGAAGGTGTGGTGGAGAGGTTGGTGTTCTGTCCAGAGGACGGACGCTGTAACGCTATGCTCCGGCCCAACAGCACCGCCCCCTGTAACCTTCAGCCCTGTGTGGCCTGGACCACTGACCCCTGGCAGGAGGTCAGTATCACAACACTGTCATTATTAGGACAACTATTTGAATGAGTGATGCCAGACCAAGTGTGCCAACGTGGTCTTTTTTCAGCTTTAACCTCTTTTCTCTTTTTTTATTTAATTTATTTATGGGACAATGCCTATTAATAAACCATATCAGTACAACTGTAAATGAGCCATAGTTAGCCAAAAAGGCTCATATTCCATTGTGGACCCTGGACTGATGTTAAGAGGCATCCGAAAAATAACAAAAATACAATATAAACACTTCTTATAAACGTGTATTTTTTATTTTCATTATTTAATTTTTAATATCACAGGAAATTTGTTGTACAATTCACAAAGACACAGGAACATAGTTAACATAGTATGCAGAAGCCAGTAGCCACCAGTTAACTTACTGCTAATGGGTGGATGCTAGCTGTCAGTGATTATTAGCAACATTAGCATTAGTTTCTCTAATGAAATAATACAGATTAAATAATACAGATACATGAAAATAAAGTATGTTTTAAAGTAACTGAGGCTTAAGAAGTTATAAGAATTGTTGCTCAGTTCTTCAAGCTGGATTGTTGTCCACTAGGTGGCACTAGTAACTGACCACAGCACAGAAATATGTACGTTCTATTCACAGGTTTTGTCATCTCTACCTGAAAACACAATCATTCGTGATTATTCAGTGCATTCGTTAAAGGAGCTAGTGCTAATGTTGGTAATATTCAGTGAAAGCTGTGCTCTTTTTAAAAAAGCTGCAAAGAACCATGCTTGAAAAGAGATTTGTGAGTGTGAAGAACCCTTTAAAGCCATAAAGGATAATTCAATACATTTTCAATATTTATCCATAATTCAGTGTGTGAGATGTAAACAGAGTGATTCAGAGTGGTTTGGTGTGAAATGGTTCAGATGTCTTTACAGTGGTGGTGATAGGAACCAGGGGTCGCCATGACTACAACACAAATATAGACATTTTATTTACTATCCAGAACCACCAGTGAACCAACACGAGTCTTCTGAGTTTATATGGAATGTTGATGATGGAAAATAGTGGAAAATCTGAAATAATAAGTTTTCTTTTGGGATTAATTTGCCTCACAACACTCTGCATGTATTTCATTTTTAAACATATGTTTTAGGACCAAACTCTTCATAAAACTATCATAAAACAGCGTCTCAGACATCAGGCAGTGAATTCATAACCATTTCATGTAGTAACTTCCTGTGAGGGAGCTTTTAGAGGTGGACGTCTGGTTCCTATCACCACCACTGTGAACAATTCTGACTCTGTGAGTTTCTCTAGAACAGAGCGTTTCACACCAAACCACTCTGAACCACTCTGTTTATGTTTTAACTGTTTAATTATGCAAATCTGGAAAATTGGTGGAGTTCCCCTTTTATATAATATACTGCTTTTTTAACAATTTAACGGCTCTAACTTTTAAAGGGATGTTCTAACTTCCACTGTGTGTCGGTGTCAGTGCTCTGTGAGCTGTGGTGATGGAGTACAGAAGCGAGTGGTGAGATGTACCAATACGGATTCAGGCGAGGAGCAGAAGAGCAGCCTGTGTGCAAAAAACAACAAACCGGACAGTGTCCGCAAGTGCAGCCTGGAGGAGTGCAGAACTGATTCAGGTAAAATCAAATCATAATCATGGCATGGATTGAAGGTTTATAATCTCCATATTCCATACAATTACAAATACAGAAGTAATCCATATAAACTACAGCAGCTTGTGTTTATGACGTATATATTCTGTTCAGTGTTCATCGCTGATGCTGTGTTTTTGTGTTTGCTTGTGTGCAGATGTTCCGGTGTGTAAGAGGAACAGCATGTCCACTCGTTTCTGTGCCAAGCTGAAGCTGCTGGGTCGCTGCGTTCTTCGCTCCATCCGCAGACAGTGCTGCCTCACCTGCAGGACGTAACACTGCCGGAGGTCGGAGGTCATCATCGACACCTTGAGCGACAATGCTGGACCACAAACAAACAAACTCAAGCACACAAAGTTGTTGTTTACTTGAACTTCATGCTGCCCTTATGTGCCCGTCATGTTTCCCTCCTGCAGCGTCTTAGACCGCTCTTAGATTCCTCCTCCGGAGCCGTGAACCCACTGGAGATACGAGCCTTCAAGAAACCGAGCTTTCGGAACCAAATACCTGATTGGTGCTCTTGAATCTGAGCCACCGTCTGTCTGATTAAAGGCATGTTGTGGTTATCGGTGTCAGTTATAAAGCAATTCTAAAGCACAAGAACCTTAAACCAGTGCTGCACTGGAGGTGGTGAGAATCTGCATTGCTTCTGGTATGATTTACTGACCCATCCTCAGTCAGACGATCGTAAAAATCACAGTAAAATCCTTCCAGACGAGTAAGTGGTGAATGCTAATGTGCAATAACGGTCATCAAACTCACAGATACATCAGTCATAAATGTAAAATACAACGTCGGTGAACTGATTCACAAGATGATGTTATAATCGTTGGTAACATGTTTGTTTTATTGCACATGATTATGATGAGGACGAAGAGAAAGAGCAGAAGGCCGAAACTGTGAATTTTCCAGGCTGTTCAGTGTACCATCGAAAACCAGGGTGAACCGTTTAGGTGCTTTTTAGTGATGATTCACATTTACTTATGTGCTTTTTTTTTAAATTAGCAAATGTTCTATACTTTTAGCTCAACATGTTTTCATATTGTGATCACTGTAAATGACATGAATGCTGATATTCTGATCACACAAACGTGCAGAAGCACAATGTGACCAGCCGTTTTACCACCGTCCTGCTTCATTTCCGTTCAAAACCTTCAAAACCTCACAAATTTCTTATGCAATCAGTCAAATTTCAGTCAAAAAATCAAATTTACACATTTTCTCATACCTCAAATGTAGTCAGTCAGCCAGGACATGTTTTAGTTTAGCTCTGGAGCTATGAGGCTAATGTAGCTAACAGGTAACGGAAGCTTATTATCATTGACAGTTAGCATGATAATAACCGCATGCCTGAATCATCACACACTCGTCTCAATGTGTGTGGAGGTGGTCAGCATCTCTAATAGTCTTGATTAGGTGGTTTCTGACCCTGTATGACTCACTGTTATCTATAAACATGGACTGAAGTACGTTAGCATAGCTAAAACGGTAGTAGCCTCCATTTTATCGTCTTTTTACCACAGAGAAGTGAGAAGAACTGCTACTCACTGGTGTCCTCTGGGTTTACCTGACACTGGACTGCTCGTCTGGGAGAGTCCAAAATGAATGGGTTCCTAAGGAGCTTTTGGGTGCAACTGTTAGCAGTAAAATCAAGCATTCAGCACACAGTAGCAGTAATGCTAACATCCTACAACCCAAAACCTGTTTGCTGGAGAAAAACAGAAAAATACAGGAACATTTTAAGTGGTTTGTTAACATTCAGTGTTCTTTGTCTTGCTAAAATTCCTCACAAATGGTTAGAAATGTGTCATTTTATTTGTTTTTAGCCATGCAGCTCCTTTCAGCTCATTCATTGAGGGCTCTCTTGTGGGTGTTTGCAGTCATATTTTGTTTTATAATGAGAGAAATGTGAAGGCTCCCCTTAAACTGACTCTGCTATTACTGGGGTATACACTTCCATTACCTGTTGGCTTGTTAGCTACATTAGCCTTGTAGCTCCACTGCTAAAGCTAAAGAAGCGAACTTCAGACTCCAAACATGCCCTTTACCTTTTTAGCTGTGGAGGATTTTTTTGCCAAACTAATCTTTTAATGGGAAAAACACATTATTTCTATCATTGCTTGTAATGAACACTTAGCATGTCTAACCTGATGGGTTTCCAGTGACTGACTGCACTGAGGGTTTTCTGAGCTGACCGAGTCGTGTAACAGAGTTACATCACTTCCAGATGTGGGTGTGTGAGAACGTGTTTGCTGTGTGAGCCGTGTGCTGCTGTTATGGTGCTAATGCTTGGAGCTCATTAGACGCTGTTAGGACATTTTGTTCATTATTAATGAATTCTTATAGTCGTAGTTAATGAACCTGTAGACGTCGTTACTGTGTTCTTTAGGTATTAATCAGTGAGCTGTGTGAGAGGTTGAGGTGTTGCAGGCCAATCCTCGCTGGCCTTTAATACGAGGCCCAAATCTTTTATACTGTAATACTGTGGAGTTCCACTCTGCTGCATTTCTGTATGTTTATGAGATAATAAACGCTGTGATGAGAAGAAAACGCTCAATGTTGTGTCTGTGAATTTAAATAAAGAGTAGTAAATCAGTCATGAAGTGCTCTGGCGTTGGGACATTCACAGAGTGATTCAGAACGGTTTGGTGTGAAATGGTTCAGATGTCTTTACAGTGGTGGTGATAGGAACCAGGGGTCGCCATGACTACAACACAGATATAGACATTTTATTTACTATCTTCTGAGTTTATATGGAATGTTGATGATGGAAAACAGTGGAAAATCTGAAATAATAAGTTTTCTTTGGGGACTCTTTTGCCTCACAGTGCCCTGCTTGTATCCTTCCACCATGAATGGAGTTTAAGGCCAAAATCTTTTCAAATCTATCATAAAACAGTGTCTCAGACATCAGGTAGTGAATTCATAACCATGTCATGTAATAACTTTAAGCGAGGGAGCTTTTAGAGGTGGACATCTGGTTCCAATCACCACCACTGTGAACAATTCTGACTCAGTAAGTTTCTCAAGAACGGAGTGTTTCACACCAAACCACTCTGAATGACTTTGTTCACCTCCATTCAATTAAATTCCTTAAAAATTTTAATTTTATTAAAAATTCAGTTGAAATTTCACTTTAAAGGGGCAACGCTAATGTTACTAACTGTGAAGCAGAGTGAATGGCTGCCAGCTTACACTTGTTGTTTGCCATGTTAGCATCATTAGTCAGGATATTTATTTAACACTGTAGTTTTATATGAATAACTTCTGACTCATAGTTCCCTGAATCAACCGAGTGTGTGGAAAGTGCAGACTGTAAACTGTCAAACCAAACCACATCTGTGTTAGTAAGTCGAAGAGGAGACATTTTATTATGATTTGAATTTGATGAAAAGTTGCTGCTGTCTGTACAAAAACAATCTGTGCTGTTTTTGTCATTTTTTGACATCAAAACAAACAGAAAAAGTCAGAAGTGCAAACAGTGTAAATGTAAGTAATGATGTGACCTGCGATGGAATTAAATCTGTAATTATTTAATTACATTTGAATAATGTAAGTGATAATGTAATTAAGTTCGGCCTTGTTGTTGCAGGCTCTGAGGTCACTCAGGCTGAGGCCCTGGCCGGCTCTGTGTCCGGTGCGTGTCTCGGGTGAATGGGGGTCAGGCTGTTTGAGCTGAAACCAAGCCGTTACTCAGCAAGGCAACACCAGCGGCTCTGTCCTACATTCCTTCACTCGGTGTTTGATAGCAAAGCCTGTGACTCAGCCCTGTTTCCACCAGTGTTATATAATCACACGTTACCGCATTACAGGAATTAGAAACCCAAACACAGTGACAGGAGGGCAACTGTAGACGCGCCGGGGCAGGAAGACCACCTCCCTCTGCTCTGTAGCGATAAATAATGTATTTGAATCAGATTCACACGCCCACAGCGGCTCTGATTAAAGATAAAGAGATAGGCTGGCTAAAATGTACCCAATTCTTGCTTTAGCCCAGATACATTCATACAGCCAAGGCATGTTCGGCTGGTGTTAGCACAGGCTATTATCTATAAAAGGCTGTTATCTTTTTACATATGCTAACATACTTCGGTCCATGTTTATAGATAACAGTGTGCCATACAGAGTCAGAAACCACATAATCGAGACTGTCAGAGATTACTGATGACTTAGCATCATGTTAATTGGTTGGATATAATGTTGGATTGCTTGTTAGCTAAAGAGGCACCAAAAATGTCTTGGCCGATGGACTAAATCTGGGGGTAAGGGGCGAAAAACAATCATGCTGCCAAACTATCGCTTTAAAGCTGTAGTAAGTGACCTCGGTGCACAGTTACTGGATTAATGAGGCAATCTGTGACCTGTAAATAAAATCCTGTGTCATGCGTTTGTTCCTCTAGCTGTGGAAACCCACACCTCACCCACTTAACTGACACCCAGCACATCAAATATTTAACTTTAGTGACCAGCAAAAGCCCAGCTGGCCCTGAACAGCAGAAACGCAGGACGCTATGCACGGCTGTGACTGGGGTTCAGTGGCTAATACTAAGGAAAATGGATCTAAAGGGCGGTGATCATAAGGCTACATAACACCGACATAAGCATTATATGACCACTGACTAAAACCTACATCATTTTTTAAAAACGTCTTCTAATTTGACATCACTTGACATCAAAATTGACAAAAGTGGCCTTTATGACAGAAGAATAAGCCTTTATAAGCCTGTCATGGAAGGCTTATGTAGGTCTATGAACCCTGGCCAACAGCAAAGTGATGAAGGCTATATTAGGTGAAACAACCAAACAGTACACTTAAAATCTCAGGAAATATTAGAATATTGAGTAGTTTGTCAAACTTTTGTAACCCTATTTGACCTTTTGTCTGCATTCTCTGCACCAACAAGGCTATTTAGCCCAAATACTGATGTCATTCTGTATAAAATCTTTTTGAATAAGAGAAAAAAGGAGAAGCTTTGGAGAATGCGAAAGACGACATGCTGCTTTATCTGGAAGACGTGGATCAATAAAGATAAAGCTGTAGCCTGAAGGCAGAGATCACTCAGAGATCCCCCGTACTGATAAAGCCGCTAAATCTCATGTATATTGCTTTTGCGCTCAGTGCGGTTATTTTTCAATAGCGCTCGCTTCTGTGAATGTATGACAGCTGTACTGCTGAGGCCTGGATCAGGGTTGGAGGTTCATCCTCTCCATGGCTTTGAGACTTTTATGGAGGATGAAGCTCCATGCCTGAATCCTGGCCTCAGCAGCTGTACTGAGAATCACAAAGCCACAGAGAGATTGGAAAGTTTTTCTCTTTCTATGTTCGCTGTATCTTGAGCTCTGTGACCCAACCTGACCTCCATATGAGGGTACACACATTTGAGGACCTCCGACTGTAACTTGTAGAGAAAGACGAGACAACAAAGGCAACTTGTCTTGCGTTTTTTGCTCTAGAGCGTCGTACTGTGTGCTGTTTAAGGTGAAGACTGAACTACAAAGGAAGCGGCAGATAAGATAGTGGGACAGACAGAGTCTGCAAGACCTCAGCATTCTGCAAACAGAGGAAATGTGAGGGGGGCTGGGATGAAAAGAGACCTCTGTGTCCTCCTGGAAGTGATGTGATGAGGTGGGACTCAAGGCTGCTTTGAGAATTTTGATCACTGCTATGATCTGTCACAGTGAAGCTACCAGACAGAGAGAGAGAGATAGAGAGAGAGTAAGAGAGAGAGAGGGAGAGAGAGAGATGTGGCTGGATTTGCAGCTTTGCTGATTGATTACTATTGTTTGGAGCAATTGAAACTATTGATGTGCTACTGTAACTCAGGCACCACATGGTTGCAATCTGAGTAGGAAGGGTAAGAGTGAAGTAGGTGAAACCGTATACACCAGGGGTGTCTTTATACATCCGGAGTGTCTCTGTATGTCCAGATTGTCCTTATATACTCAGGGAGTCTCTACGTATCCATGATGTCTTTAAATGCTCTGGATGTGTCTGTATACCCACAGTGTCTCAGTATGCCCAGTATGCTCCTACATGCCCAGGCACCCTGACTGTCTCTATGTGCCCAGAGAGTCTATATATCCAAAATGTCTCTATGTCTCTATACACCCGAAGAGTCGCTATACACCCAGAGTGTCTCTATACACTTGGACTGTGTCTATACACCTGGAGTGTGTCTATATGCCAAGAGTGTTTCTATACACCCAGTGTCTTTATATAACCAGGATGTCTCTATACACCCAGACTATCTCTATACATCTGAAGTTTCTCTATACACCAAGAGTGTCTCTATACACCCAGAGTGTCTTTATATAACCAAAATCTCTCTATACACCCAAACTATCTCTATACACTTGAAAGTTCTGCATGCCTGGCTGTGTCTCTATTTCTATGTGTGTCCTGGGATGTCTCTGTTCTGGGGATGTCTCTGTTCTGGGGATGTCTCTGTTCTGGGAAGTGTCTTGATATGTTCAAACAGTCTCTATACGTCGTGGGTGTTTGTGTGTGCAGACTATTCTTACCCACAGCCTAATACTGCAGAGGACAAAAGTAATAATTTGTATCTTCACACACAGGGTGTCTCTGTAGCCATGCATATGCTCTCTCTCTCTCTCTCTCTCTCTCTCTCTCTCTCTCTCTCTCTCTCTCACACACACACACACACACACACACACACACACACATCAGTATCAAAGCCCTACCGATAAACACTGGAGTTCCGGCTCAAACCTACAAACACCCCACACAGGTAACCTAACCACCAGAGAGAGAGCGAGCGAGCGAGCGAGAGAGAGAGAGAGAGAGAGAGAGAGAGAGAGAGAGAGTTAGGGGAAGAAACAGAGAGAGAGGGAAAGAACGGGAGAGCTCTCCCTCTCCCTCTCCCTGCGCGCGCGGGCGCGTGGTTGTGCTGGGCAGTGTTTCCGGCGGTGCTGTTGGGGGGAGCGCGGTGGTCTTTAAGCAGCTGTAACTGCGCTTCACTTCAATTCAGTTCAGAAGCGCTGCAGCTCGGGCTGGACGTTCCTGAAGCTCGTGCGTTCTCAACCGGCGATGCTCCTGCGCCCTGAGGCGCGCGGCCATGGCCGCATGCGCACGGAGTAGCTGCGTCCTGCGCGCGCTCGCGGCGCTCCTGCTCCTGCTGCTGTTCGTGTGCGCGGCGGCGGGGGGAGACGCGCTGGCGCTCGGCGGCGGCGGAAACCGGAGGCACGCGCGCAGCTATGAACACCTACAGGGAGACACGCGCCGCAGGAAACTGTTCAACTACCAGAGAATGTTCCTCAGGATAGACACCAACGGCAGAGTGAACGGCACGCGCAGCAGCGACGACCCCCACAGTGAGTAACGTGCACGCGCTGATCACTCCAGCTTAAACTCATAACACTCATTAATATACAGTATTAAACTCATAAAGTTTAATAATATAGAGAATTAAACTCATAAAGCTCATTAATATACAGTATTAAACTCATAACACTCATTAATATACAGTATTAAACTCATAAAGCTCATTAATAAACAGTATTAAACTCATAAAGTTTAATAATATAGAGAATTAAACTCATAAAGCTCATTAATATACAGTATTAAACTCATAACACTCATTAATATACAGTATAAACTCTTAACACTCATTATTACAAAATATCAAACTCAAAATGCTCGTTATGCAATATTAAAATCATAATTATAGAAAAATAAACACCTAATGCTCATGAATGTCATCATGATGATGTTTCAATGCAAGGTTAATTACTATAGTTTACACAGTCACACATGCAGTGAGCTACCACTGTAAAAGCATCCCTGTGTGTTCCTCAGTATTTACTATAAGACTACAACTGTAGTGGTAACGCTACTCGTTCATATACGGTATTAAACTCATAAAGCTCATTATTTTACAGAATTGAACTCATAATGCTCATTAATATACAGCATTAAACTCATAACGCTCATTAATATACAGCATTAAACTCATAACGCTCATTATTATACAGCATTAAACTCATAACGCTCATTAATATACAGCATTAAACTCATAACGCTCATTAATAAACAGCATTAAACTCATAACGCTCATTAATATACAGCATTAAACTCATAACGCTCAGTAATAAATACAGCAATAAACACATAACGCTCATTAATATACAGAATTAAACTCAAAGCTCATTCATATACAGTATTAAACTCATAACACTCATTAATATACAGTATTAAACTCATAAAGTTTAATAATATAGAGAATTAAACTCATAACACTCATTAATATACAGCATTAAACTCATAAAGCTCATTAATATACAGCATCAAACTCATAAAGCTCATTAATATACAGTATTAAACTCATAAAGCTCATCAATATACAGCATTAAACTCATAAAGCTCATTAATATACAGAATTAAACTCATAACGCTCATTAATATAGAGAATTAAACTCATAACGCTCATTAATATAAAGAATTAAACTCATAACGCTCATTAATATAGAGAATTAAACTCATAATGGTCATTAATATAAAGAATTAAACTCATAACGCTCATTAATATAGAGAATTAAACTCATAACGCTCATTAATATAGAGAATTAAACTCATAACGCTCATTAATATGAAGATTAAACTCATAACGCTCATTAAAATAGAGAATTAAACTCATAACGCTCATTAATATAAAGAATTAAACTCATAACGCTCATTAATATAAAGAATTAAACTCATAACGCTCATTAATATAGAGAATTAAACTCATAACGCTCATTAATATACAGAATTAAACTCTTAACACTCATTATTACAAAATATCAAACTCAAAATGCTCGTTATGCAATATTAAATCATTATAGAAAAATAAACACCTAATGCTCATGAATGTCATCATGATGATGTTTCAATGCAAGGTTAATTACTATAGTTTACACAGTCACACATGCAGTAAACTGCCACTGTAAAAGCATCCCTGTGTGTTCCTCAGTATTTACTATAAGACTACAACTGTAGTGGTAAAAAGACCCAAACAAAGACACGTATTAGGCAATATTTTCCAGTGTTTAACTGATTCATTTAAATTTACCATGAAACTGGACCCTGCAGTGGCCTTAGGCCAGTGTTTCCCAACCCTGCTCCTCTACTGAACCCACATTTACTCCACATTTCAGTGTTTTGTCTGCGCTAACATACGGCTGGCAACTCCATCTGATAGTCTGGCAGAGCCTTTATTTATTTAGGTATTTATTTACAACTACAGCAGGAAGATAACAAGGAAGTGGGAGCTAAATGTGAAGAACTGAAGTGGAACTGAGTGAAAGAGCCCTTTTCCCACAAACACACCTGAGTAGAAAAGGATTTGAAAATACCCAGGAAAGTACAAAGGCATTAAAATTGCACTTAAACACACTGAACTGAGTAAATGGAACTAGTTACCCAGATAGATCTTGAACCTGGACCACATCCAGCATGGATGGACGCGGGCCAGATGCGGTAGCCGGAACCCGGCCTGTGAGAAAGTCACATCTCAGCTACCTTGAAATGTGCCATCAGGGGGTCGTTTCTGCATCACATCTGCTCCAACTCAAACGTAGTAGAGTTTAGCGTGTGTTGCAGAAGGACCGCTAATCTGCTTTGGCTAACGGTCCCAACTTTACCTACTTAAATCACTCTGCTTGTCCTCTTTGGTGAACTGTCTAGTGACGCACTCTTAAAACAATGTTTAATCACTGTTTTTGCTGTGGAATGATATCTGGGTCAGACAGTGTCAGATTTAGCTGACTCATAGCATTGCTAACAGCACCTAGCTGTGCAGGTTAGCTAGTGGACTGAGCAGGATTGGCAACAGTGGCCTGAAGTAAATCTGAAGTGTTGTGATGTTTCATACTATTGCTGTATACGGATACCTTAGTTAGCTCTGGTTAGCTGACTTTATAACATCGCTAACAGCTGCTATCTGCGCAGCTAGTGGACAGAAATGGCCTGGAGTAAATTTAACCAAAAGTATTGTGATGTTCCATATTATCTCTGTGTATGGATATCTCGGTTACCCAGCCTCTGGTTAGCGGACATTCATAACATTGCTAACAGCTGCTAAATTCTCAGCTAAACAGTAGCTGGGTTAGCTAGCTGACTGCAGGAGCAGGATTATGATACAGTGGACTGAGGTAGATTACAGGACAGTATAATATAATTGGGATGGAAGGCCAAATACTCACTTAGTTCAGGTTTCAATTTCATGTACTTAAGCATAATTTTGATGAGTTGGTCAAAAAAGGTTCAAATGCTAACACTTAGCAAGAAAAAGTATCTACTTTTTACTCAGTTCTCAGGTTAGTTCTTTACATTTATTTACTTATTTGTTTTATTATTTGAGTCCTTTTATTATTTTAATTGTTTTATAATTTGTATGGGTTCAGGAAGTTCATTCTGTACTGCTTTGTTTTTTTTTTTACTATAATTTTGAATTTCATTTTAGACCAAAAAGATCTGAAAAGAGAAGAACAGAGCCAGCTAATTCAGTTCCTGGCCAATAGACGCTAGGAAACTTATGTTTTTTCAGAATTATTTATTGATCACAGCTTCACTGAAGTAACAGTATGTATTGCTGAGTATAGTTAAAGGCTGTTTGGCCCTAAGCAGAAATGACTGTAATGGTTTTCATTACGGGTATAAAAGCAGTCTTCATCTTTACACTTCTAAAATCTGAGAACAATTAGCCCACACGTTTCCTCCTGAGTGTTTCCTTACTGAGCAGAAAGAAAATGTGCCCTTGGTGTGAAGACCTCAAGAAGATCAAGGGCTTTTGTGTGCAAACTACACCAGAATATGAGCATGTAGACGGCCTGTGGGGCTTTTTGGCTCTGCTGTGTAGAGCACCTTGATCAGAGTCAGTAAAGCGCAGGCTTTGTTTTTGTGTGTATTGCTCTAATAAGTTTAACAATGAAGACGCTTCATCATTACTCATATGGTGTCCATGTGTAGATAAGAGCCTTCCTGTTTCCTCAGTCCGTGTGCAGCGTTTTGCTCTGGGGGAGGTCTGAGCATTTGTTCGATTTGGAGGGACTGACAAAACACTTTGAATAACTAGGCCTTATTTATACAGCACTGTGCAAAAGTCAGAGACTCTTCATTTATTTGATTTCCAGTCAAAAGAGCCATTAATAAGCATCTTTCCCTTTATTCCAGCTTCCATTCTTTTCAGGAGACTCACGAAATCTGCAGACACACCTCCAAAGTTCAGTCTTAGAAGCTGGTTGATCGTTTTCTGAAGTAATCAAACACATTCAGTGGTGTTGAGGTCTGGACTCTGGGGTGGTCAGTCCATTGTTCAGCTTCTTTGTGTAATGTGTCCGTCTCCTTTTCTCAGTGAGGTTCTTCTTGACAGCTACACATCCTTTCAGACCCATAGCGCTGAGTCGTCTTCTCACAGTGGAAGGATGGACAGAAACACCTGTGGATGTTTTTTAGATCTGAAGCAGCTTGATTTTCTCCTCTCTCTCAAAGATCAAAGCTTTAAGTGCTGTTTATCTGATGGGGGGCAGTTTTGGTGTTTACCAGGTCTCCCAGGTGGCTGTTAAAAGCCCCAATTTCTCTGTATCTTCTCTCAGAACATCTCATGGAAAATCAATCTTGTAATCAATAGCTATATTGACTGGAAATAAAATCAACAAAGGGTGGTTTTGCACAGTAGGGTATACTTTAATATAGGTGAATGTTCATAATGACACCTACATGACAACTGACATAGACCCACGTCAAGTTGTATTAACACTAATTCCAATGGGCATTCACCACATTTAACCATTTATAAGATTTAAGCTACGTGATAAGCTCCCCAGACAAAAACTTGTCACCTTGTGTGTTTAAGGTGGTAGTAACTTCAGGCTCCTGCAGATAGCACTGCACAAGGATGATCAGGCTGTAAATACCTGCAGGGTGAGCGACGGGATTCATAGATTGAGAAAAGGTGGTATAGTGCAGTGAATGTCTCATTGGAAAATGGGCCACAAAGCAGATGTTAATGATTGGCAAAAAGGAGTGACTGCATTTGGGCTGCCAAAGGCGGCAGTGTGAAGGTAGTACCTGAATTTGCAGGTGTATTAAAGCGTATGGTCATACGGGTCGACCAGCAGTGGCAAAAATCACAGCCTACAGGAAATTCTCATCAGAATTGTGGCCGAAAGACCAATCTGACGGACAGGGACCGCTGGTATGTTTCACAGCTTGTGAATGAAAAACACTTCCCTGCGGAGTGCTCTTTCAGAAATTGGTTTGAAGAACCTGCGTTGACTTTATTTACAAGCTCCCCGGACAAAAAAATTAGTCACCTTGCGTGTTTAAGGTGGTG